ATATATGTGCGTGTATCTTTCAATAAAGTTTAGTTACAAGTTCAGCGCGGTGTGGTCTCTTCTTCTGTCCTCGTCTATATTTGTGCGCTGTTTGCTCTTCCCAAGTAAAACTGTAATAACCCTTCAAAAATTCAAAGCATGCAAATATTTTCAGAATCCTAGTTTTCCACCCTTTATCCCCTACCTTATTTATTATAAAGCCTAAAGCGCTCGTACGAGACCTATGAATATTTTATCAAATATTAGAGTCAAAATTCGTTTTGACACAAATTAAAAATTTTCTAAATTCTCAGCATTAGAAGCGAATTATATTGTTACACAAGGCAAGGTAACTTAATGGGGGTTTTTAATGGGCCCCGAGTCGGCGATGCGATCACAGTATAATGATGATGATCTCCACCGCCATGGCTCGTACCCACTCAGAGGGATCGCAGTGGAGGCAACGTCGTTTTCCTTCTCTACCCATGCTTCCCTTGTTTTTCCTGGTAGTGATACTTCTTATTCCTCCGGTCTCAGACGAAGCCCTCTGGGCGAGTCATTCTTGCATCCTTCGTGTAAACGGCTTCAGGCGGGCAACATGCGTCACCTCTGTCTTGCATGAACGTCGGCTACTAGTGGTGACACGTGCAATTTCATAGTTGACCTCGCTGAGACGATGGAGTATCACGAAAGGATCGGTGTAGTGTGCCAGTAGCTTTGGGCTCAAGCCACATCTGTGTGTTGGGGTCCACACTCACACTAGATCACCGTGGGCATAGGTTACATGCCTGTGTTGACTGTCGTAGCGAGTTTTGGAGGACTTTTGCGCTGCCAGTGTACGTAAGCAGGCAAGTCGACGTGTCTCTTCCACACGACACAAAGTTTCCGCAATTGTTAAATCGTCATGGATGACAAAAGGAAAGATAGTGTCCAGCGTATGTCGAGGTGAGCGAGTGTAGAGCAAATAGAAAGGGCTGTAGCCTGTAGTTTCGTGTTTCGACGTGTTGAAGGCGAACGTGACGAATGGTAAAACTTCATCCCAGTTTTTGTGGTCGGAGGCGACGTACATTGACAACATGTTGATCGACGTTCGGTTTGTGCGCTCGGTGAGGCCGTTAGTTTGCGGATGATACGCAGTTGAGTGTCGGAACTTGGAGGCACACAAACGAAGTAATGATTCGACAATATCAGTGGTAAATTGTCGTCCACGGTCACTTATTATCACGCGAGGAGGTCCGTGTCGGAGGATGACTGAATGCAACAGGAACTCCGAAACCTAGACTGCCGTGGCGGAGCATAAGGCAGCCGTCTCGCAGTACCGCGTCAGGTAGTGGGCGCATACAATTATCCACCGGTTACCTTTTGAGGAGCGTGGAAATGGTCCCATCAGATCAATGTCAACCTTTTCAAAAGAGGAACCGGGAGGCTTTACAGGTTGCAGGTGACCAACTGGACCCGAGGAGGGCCGCTTGTGGCTCTGGCACTGCGTACAGCTGGCCACGTAGTTCTGAATTGGCTTGCTCATTTTCGGCCAATAGAACCGCTCTTTCGTGCGACTAAGTGTTCGTGTGGTGCCTAGATGGCCAGAGGTGGGTTCATCTTGCGTGAGACGCAGAACAGACGTTTGGAGAGACGCAGGAACAACTATCAGAAAGCGGGCGCCCGTTGTGGACAAGTTTCTCTGGTAAAGAAGACCATTTCGGACGCAGAATCGGCCTTCGCTTAATGAATTTCTCGCTCCAAGGAAGAGAGCTTTCAAGCTTGGGTCATTATGCTGCTCAGCGGCGAAAGTCACGGCATCAGGAAAGCCAGACGACAGAGAAGCGATAAGGTGGTCAAAGTTATCGCCTTCACAATCTGTCGATGGTAGCGGCATTCTGGAGAGGCAATCAGCATCAGCGTGTAGACGGCCAGTCTTGTATGAAATGGTGAAGACATGTTCTTGCAAACGAATGGCCTATCGTTCGAGGCGGCCGGATGGGTCACGAAGGTTTACCAGCCAACACAGGAAATGGTGATCTGTGACGATAGTGAACGGGCGACCATAGATGTATGAGCGAAACCGTTGCACGGCAAAGACTACCGCTAGGCGTTCCTGTTCGGTCACTGTGTAGTTGCGTTCAGGCTTGCTTAAAGAACGACTTGCGTACGCCACAACGTGTTCCTTCTTGCCAGAACGCTGAAGGAGAACGGCACCGATACCGATGCCACTTGCGTCTGTGTGAATTTCCGTGGGCGACGAAGGATCGAAGTGCCGAAGTATTGGCTGCGAAGTTAACAAACACTTCAGCTTGTGAAAAGCGGCATCACACTCGGAGGTCTACTGAAACGGGCTGTTCTTGCGTAGAAGGCTCGTCAGCGGGTGAACGACATCCGCAAACTTGGGTACGAACCGGCAGAAATACGAGCAGAGCTCGATGAAGCTATGCAGTTGTTTCACAGACTTAGGACGCTCGGACGATTCAACGGCCGCTGTCTTTTGTGGGTCAGGTCTAATGCCATCTTTGTCAACGAGATGTCCTAACACCAATGTCTGTCGCTCGCCAAAGTCTTTTTTTAATTCAATACAAGGCCAGCTTTTTCAATGCAGCTTAGCACGAGGTCTAAGCGAGTGTTGTGCTCCTCAAACGTATGTCCAAAAATTACGACATCATCAAGGTAACACATGCATATATGCCATTTTAAACCACGCAATATATAGTCCATAAATCTTTCGAACGTCGCAGGAGCATTACATAATCCGAATGGCATAACGTTGAAGTCGTAAAGTCCGTTGGTCGTAACGAATGCCGTCTTTTCTTTGTCAGCTTCGTGCATCGGAATTTGCCAGTAACCTGACCTTAGGTCGACAGATGAAAAGTAGGTCGCGGAATGCAGGCAGTCTAGTGCGTCATCGATGCGCGGCAGTGGCAGATTTTTTTACATGTGCCCCCCCCCCCCCCCCTCCACCACACTTCTATCAAAAAGTAGTTTCACTGCACCACGTTAATACTACAATGTGAAACCACCTTTTCAGGGGAAATTTCCACTGCCTCAAGCTAACACTTCAAGCTTGAATGCATATGTTATTCTTGCCCAAATTAAATTTACTTGAGGTTTGAAAGCATGTTGTACAGCACACAAGACTTAAGCATTTGCCAGCACTTTAGCTGCCAGCACTTTAGCTACGAACCTGAAATGTGATGTCTGCTAAAGCCTACCGTATAAACCGGAATATCAGTCGAAATATTTTCAATAAAACAACGAGCTAAAGTCACCCCTCGTCTTATATGGCGGTGTCTAACCGATGGTACACCGCTGTCTGGCAACATGTGGCTTGCACATGCATGAAAAGCTGGACACGGCCATAGTCGCATTCAAATCCACTAGCAGGTTGTTTTTTTTTCTCTCTTGTCTGTTTTTTTTGTGTTCGTGATTTGCCTTCGATCTGTTCTGAGTTCTCGCTCCGCTTGATGTTGTGTTTCATATTTAGTGGTCTTTTTTTCGTTCACTGAAAATGAGTAGCCGTACAAGAAAGCAGGCACACTCAGCTGCGTTTAAATAAACTAGAGGTTGTTGAGTTTGCAGAAGTGAATGGGAATATGGCAGCTCAGCACCGCTTCGGTGTATTAGAAAAAAGCATGCGCTATTGTGGGGTGCAGAAAGGAAAGCTGCAGATGTGCAATCCTCGCAAAATGTCATTTCGTGGGCGAAGTGCGGTTCATTCGCAGCTGGAGAATACGCTAGGGAACTTGGTGTGGGAAGTTCATGCGTGCTCGCTGCCAGTGACTGTGGATATCATTCGCAAGAAAGCTGTGGAACTCGCTCGAGAAGCTGGGCTCACGAGAGAAGAGTTTCGTGCACTAAACTCTTGGCTGCGTCGATTCATGAGATGCAAAGGATTTTCTTTCCAGTAGCGCACATCCATCTGTCAGAAGTCTTCACACGAGTTCGAGGACAAGCTTATAAACTTTCAGGGCTTCGTGAACCGATTTCGGGAGCAGAACAACTACATGATGGGGCAGATTGATAATGCCAACGAGACCTCCGTGTGGTTTGACATGCCTTCATTGACCATGATCATGCAGCGTGGCACCAAGGATATGAAGCTGCTGTCCACCTGCAACGAGCACTCAGGCTTCGCCGTCATGCTGGCATGCATGGCAGATGGTAGAAAGCTTCCACCCTTTATCACTTTCAAACGTAAGACAATGCCAAAGGAAGTGTTCCCGCCCGGTGTTGTCGTTTGCGTCAACAAAAAGGGATACATGGACGAGGCCATGATGCTCGAATGGATACGAGTAGTCTGGAACCGTCAGCCAGGTGCACTGTTGGGTCTTTGCAGCATGCTGGTATTAGATGCGTTTTGTGGTCACTTAACTGACGCTGTGAAGCACGCACTGTGCGATGGAAAAACGGACCTCGCCGTGATACCAGGTAGTACGACGTCCACCATCCAACCCAAAGACACCGATGGGCCGCCTACAGAGGCCTCCGCTTGCGACTGCTGTGGCTGGGAGCTTTCGGCCTGGTGTTCCTTGCCAGATTCCACGGTGGAAAATGCTTTTAGGAAATGTTCCATCAGCAACTCGCTGTATGGCATGGAAGACAACGCACTGTAGAAGGCGGTCAGCGACAAACTCTCGTCTTCAGAAGACAGTGGTGCTTCTTCTGACGAATAGGAACAGCTGCGATGGTAGTTGAGGGGAGCTTCGACGATCTGGGTGCGGTGCACCCAATTCGCAAATAAATGTCGTTCGGCAATTTTGGGTTGTTTTCCTTTTTTTTTTCGGTGACCTGAACTTTGGGGGTCGACCTATATTCCCACACGACTTATAGTCTGCTTTATATGGTAGTTCTATTTTTTTTAATGTCCTGCAAGACAGTTGAGTTCTAGCAAAAAGTCTCACTTATTAATGAAGTATGATATGTACAACTCAAAATAATCTGTAGAAATATTTAAATCAACTTTAAGCCACTAGTTTGCTATGCACCCATCGCTATAGTTATGCCGACTACAATAACTTCAGGTCAAGACAAACCTGTCTGTATCGCCGTACACGACCCTTGCGCCTGGTACAGTAGCCTCAGCCGTGCGGATGGCTTGCTCCAGGGCTTCACGGCCTTTGCTCACCACGCTGTCCGCCACCTGCCATCACAGAATAAGTCTCTTCAATGAAATAAATCCACACCACCTCCAAACGTGAAACATTTCCGTAAAAGTACCAAATACTGAAGATTCTTACGTAACAATCTACAAGGGAACATCTTTAACACCACCTCGATTACAATAACTTACCTTCCCTTAGAATGCACTTCACCTTCACACACAAGTGTTCTTACAGCAAATAAAATGTGCACACTCAAATATCATTATAACGAAGTTACACCTGCCACAAAAATACTTCGTAAAGTCCGAAAAGTTGTTATGAACATACATTTGTACCACTGTATCTATGACTGAGCCATTCTTCACTTACTTTGTTATAAGCAGTAATTCGTTATATCCGGATTTGTTAAATCGAGGTATGAATGTATATGGCAGTATGTGGCTACGGTACAACATACTTTTCCCCTGCTTCAACAAAAATGTATGAGCTGCACAAACTAGGCCAACCCCCCAACTCACCACTGTTTCACTAAAAATGGGGATGGAAACACATAGGGGAAAGGGGGGGTAGGTTAAACACCAACTAAGACAGCCCAAAATGTGAAGTGCACACGGCAAGCCAGTCAAGATGACTGTTGTCGAGAAACAGAGAATGTGGCTCAAAATACATGTTAACTAAATGGTAATCTTCAAAACAGCATATGCAAACTCCCAGAGGCTTCCTGGATGCCATTTCTGCTTTCAGTGCAGGGTGTGTGATTGGCTACGCTAAAAAATTTGTTACCTCCAGGTCACGTGTTAAACAGTTTCACTGGTCATTTAGTTTCACGAAATAGAACAGCTCACTTTTTTTTTTTATGCTGCCGCCTTGAGGTGCAGCCACAACAAATAGGAATGAAACAGTCAACATAGTCACAACAACAGATCAATTCAGATGCATCCCTGCGGCTTTCTTCAATGTGGCCCTTGCAAAATCTGCAGCAAGGTGACAAGCAATGCGTAACTACATTTGGCAGGCATGCTTTTCCTCGCCACGAGGGTGGCCTCACCTCCACGCAGGGCATGCGCCCCGAGAAGCCAGCAGCCGTGTAGCCGTATGTCACGTTGGCAATCAGCTTGAGGCTCAGCTGCTGTGCGTCCAGCACTCTGTAAAGGCCCTGCAAAAAAAAAAAAACGATTGAGGTTGTTGTTTCTTTCATTAGCTTTTCAAAGCCAAACACTGAATGTTCATTGCATGTCATCCAGCGACAAAATACTGCCAAACTTGGTTTCCTATTTAGGCTTTGAGCCGGTAAGGCCCACACAGCCATGGCGAGGCAAAAATGCTACACTGCACATGGAGAATTCTTCAGAGTATTCTCCAAATCTTATCTGATTCTTGCCGACTTCCAGAGTAAAGAACTAGTAGTCATTTAATTTCAAAATGCTGCTTATTGCTGCAGTGGATCACTTTACTGAAGACTTTACCATGTTCAAGGATCGTTCCAACGTGACACGCTCCAGGACCGCAAAATTAACTCTTTTTTTTTTCCTCTGCTTCAATAGAGTACAACCAAAGTAGGAGCTGTGGATGCATTTCGGCCCCCCTCCAATACTTGATTCTTTTTACGAAAGTACCAAAGCTGACTCATCATAAATAACAAGATTATATGTTAAATGTCCATTACATTCATTTCCTTTTATTTCATTTCCTTTTATTGGAATGTAATAGTACAGAGCGCCTTAAAACGATGCTATGTGAATTTGACGCATTTCTGATAATGCATCACACAGTAGAACTTCGATTATTTGTCTCCCGGTTTCGCTACGACCCACATTTTATGACAAATCGGTTTGGTCCCAGCAAAATCTCCATAGAAGTAATGTATTGAAAACCATGGTTACATGAAGCAGTTTTATGCCAACTTAGCATCTCACGACGGCTTTATAATTCTGTCCAAAAGAAAAAAAAGACACCTTTACTCGAATCAAACGTCCTCCAAATATTCACGAATGCAACGTATGAACTTGCGTTCACCTACGTCGACAATTAGAAAAGTAAGACAAAATGTCTCTTTAGAATGGAAAATTTATTCTCCTGAAAGTTCACGTGCTTCTACATATGCCTCGATTGCATGCAGCAACATGGCAAGTTGGACTAGTTGGATTATGTTTACAATTGAAAATTTTGTTGAAGCACACTAAAAACAGACAGACAGAAGAGGCTGACAAGGACAGCGCTCGCTCTCACAACTGAAGTTTTATCAGTCAGATAAATAATTCAAAAAAGTTACATGGTTACATGGAGCACGCAAGAAGTTACATGGAACACGCATGTGCACCAGAAAGGGTGCAACAGAAATCATTTGTATCGGGATTACAAATTGTGCATATTATGCGTCATTTATTATATTTTGCAATTATTAAGTGATGAAATACACGTATTCTTCATCATGCAGCCCAATCGTAGCTTGGCCAACACAGTCATGTCCCTTCTTTCGGATGTGGTAAGATTCCACTATCTCACGTGTTAGATGATCCTTGTGTCAAATAATATTTCTATTTCTTTAAACACTGGGTAACATCCCAGTGCTTTCTAGCATGCAGCGATGGTGTAGTGGTTAGAGCATCCGCCTCGCATGCAAAAGGTCCGTGGTTCAATCCCGGTGCCATGCAGCTCCCAACCGGATAAAAAAAAATCCGCGTGGTGATGGAACTGCATTAAGAGGCCTAGGGTGCGGCCTCACCGGTAACCACCGCCGGGACCGCACTCCCTCACCAGAAAAGGATTGGCCACCCTGATGCAGTATCTGGCCACTACCTCCCACATGCATACGTCAAACGGCCCTCAGTCCCCAACAGCTGCGAAGCAACTGACCACGGCGGCGGTCAGATCTGCAACGCAGCAGAGGGTGCTAAAAATCTCTGGATCCGGACAGGCCGCCGTTGGAACCTGAACTTGGCAACGTTTAACGCTAGAACCTTATCTAGTGAGGGAAGTCAAGCTGTACTATTCGAGGAACTAGAGGATGTTAAATGGGATATAATAGGGCTCAGTGAGGTTAGGAGGACAGATGAGGCCTGTACGGTGCTACAGAATGGGCACGTCCTTTGCTATAGGGGCTTGGCTGACAGAAGAGAACTGGGAGTGGGGTTCCTAATTTACAGAAACATAGCTGGCAACATAGAGGAACACTATAGCATTAATGAAAGGGTAGTAGGTATCGTAATTAAACTGAATAAAAGATACAAGACGAAGGTGGTACAGGCTTACGCGCCTACATCCAGCCATGATGACGCTTCAGTTGAAAGCTTCTATGAAGACGTGGAATCGGCAATGAGTACGGTAAAAACACAGTATACTATACTGATGGGAGACTTTAATGCAAAGGTAGGGAAGAAGCAGGCTGGAGACCAGGCAGTAGGAGATTATGGCATCGGTACTAGAAACGCCAGAGGAGAGCTACTAGTAGAATTTGCAGAACGCGGTAATTTATGCATTTTGAATACCTTCTACCGAAAACGAGGAAACTGCAAGTGGACATGGAGGAGCCCTAATGGCGAAAATAAGAACGAAATAGACTTTATAATAAGTGCACACCCAGGCATCGTGCAGGATGTGGAAGTGGTTGGCAAGGTACGATGCAGTGACCATAGAATAGCACAGTCTCGGATTGGCCAAGACTTGAGGAAGGAACGACACAAACTGATACACAAGAAGGCAATCAAGGAGCTAGCACTGAGAGGGAAAGTACAGGATTTCAGAGTCTCGCTTCAGAACAGGTAGTCGGCTCTTAATGAGGAAACCAACCTTAGCGTAGATACAACGAATGATAATCTGACGAGTATCATTACGGAGTGTGCAGTGGAAGTTGGAGGCAGGGTAGTTAGTCAGGACACTGGCAAGCTTTCCCAGGAAATGAAGAATCTCATTAATAAGCGTCAAATCATGAAAGTCTCAAGTACAACATACAAAACAGAACTGGCAGAGCTTTCGAAGTTGATTCATAGGCGTAAGGTATCCGATGTAAGAAGGTATAACATGGAGAGAATTGAACACGCTCTGAAAAATGGAGGAAGCGCCAAAGCAGTGAAGAAGAAACTTGGGATAGGCAAAAATCGGATGTATGCACTAAGGGACAAAGAAGGCAAAATAACTACCAATATGGATAGGATAGTTAAAATAGCGGAGGAGTTTTACAGAGATCTGTACAGTAGCCACACGACTTTCATACTATAAGAACTAGCAGTAACCCAGATGACACCCCACCAGTAATGATAGAAGTCAGAAAAGCTTTGGAGAGCATGCAAAGAGGCAAAGCTGCTGGTGAGGATCAGGTAACATCAGATCTGCTGAAAGATGGAGGACAGATTGTGATAGAAAAACTAGCCACCCTGTTTACGAGGTGTCTCCTGCCAGGAAGAGTACCAGTCTTGGACGCTAACATCATTTTAATACATAAGAAAGGAGATGACAAGGACTTGAAGAATTACAGGCCGATCAGCTTGCTCTCTGTAGTATACAAGCTATTTACAAAGGTAATTGCTAACAGAGTAAACAAAACATTAGAATTCATTCAACCAAAAGAACAAGCAGGATTTTGAACAGGCTACTCAACAATCGACCACATTCATACTATCAATCAGGTAATAGAGAAATGCTCAGAATATAACCAACCACTATACATAGCCTTCATAGATTACGAGAAGGCGTTTGATTCTGTAGAAATATGAGCCGTCATGCAGACACTGCGGAATCAGGGCGTCGATGAAGTATATATAAACATCCTGGAAGAAATATACAAAGGATCAACTGCTACCATAGTGCTTCATAAAGAAAGCAACAGAATACCGATCAAGAATGGTGTAAGGCAGGGGGACACAATCTCCCCAATGCTATTTACCGCGTGCTTACAGGAGATTTTTAGAAGCCTAGAATGGGAACAGTTAGGATAAGAGTTAATGGAGAGTACCTTGGTAACCACCGCTTCGCCGATGACATTGCAATGCTGAGTAACTCAGGGGACGAATTGCAACTTATGATTACGGAGTTAGACAAGGAGAGCAGAAAGGTGGGTCTTAAAATTAATCTGCAGAAAACGAAAGTAATGTACAACAACCTCGGTAAAGAGCAGCGCTTCGAGATAGGTAATAGTGCACTTCGAGTTGTAAAAGACTATGTCTACTTAGGGCAGGTAATAACCGCGGAGCCAAACCACGAGATTGAAGTAACTAGAAGAATAAGAATGAGGTGGAGCACATTTGGCAAGCAATCTCAAATTATAACAGGCAGATTGCCACTATCCCTCAAGAGGAAGGTATATGACAGCTGTATCTTGCCGGTACTTAGCTACGGAGCAGAAACCTGGAGACTTACAAAGAGGGTTCAGCTTAAATTGAGGAAGACGCAGCGAGCAATGGAAAGAAAAATGGTAGGTGTAACCTTAAGAGACAAGAAGAGAGCAGAGGGGATTAGGGAACAAACGGGGGTTTAAGATATCATAGCTGAAATCAAGAAGAAATGGACAAGGGCCGGGCATGTAGCGCGTAGACAGGATAACCGCTGGTCGTTAAGGGTAACTAACTGGATTCTAAGAGAAGGCAAGCGGGTTAGGGGGAGACAGAAGGTTAGGTGGGCAGATGAGATTAAGAAGTTTGCGGGTATAAATTGGCAGCAGCAAGCACAGGACCGAGTTAACTGGCGGAACATGGGAGAGGCCTTTGTCCTGCAGTGGACGTAGTCAGGCTGATGATGATGATGATGAACATTCGCAGTTTTCACAGTGATCTGCAAGATTAGTGTTGCTTGATGCCTTAACAGATGCATGGTGTTCTCTAAGGCAGTCGTTCACGCATCTTCCTCACTGGCCTATGTAGGCTTTTACCACAATTTCTGACTAATAAAACTTCAGTTGTGAGAGCAAGCACTGTCCTTGTCAACCTCCTCTGTCCGTCTCTTATTTAGTGCGCTTCAACAAAATTTTCAATGAATTGCATGCTTATGTATCCGGGGTTGTTACCTAGTCAAGCTCTATCCACACAAGAGTAGCTACAGCTGGCTGAAAAAGTGATATTTTAACATCTTCGGTGCGCAGAATCCTTTCTTAGGCGACAAACAGCAGATCGCAGTCGCAGGCTTGTGCACGCGTATGAGCGCAACACAGCTGTTTTCACCGTGCGATATTACCTTTACTGGACGCCAACATTCGTTATAACAGCGGGACATGACTAGTTGCGCTTCTCAAGCCAACAAATTACAACGCGCGCCGCTCAGTCGCACACGAAGTTATTCTATACAAACTCCTGGTCCATATTCATTGTGTGATAGCAATCACACTGCGTTTGACCCTTCTGACGGGAGGATGTCGGCAATGTGGTTCCACTTTCATTTTCACGCGCAGGCAATTTTCTGACTCTATTTATCAGTCGAAAGAGGTGCGATGGATTTTTTTTTTTAAGGTTGAGAACGAAAATTTACTCGCACCTCCTCCAACTAAGTAATGCTGCCACTAGCTTCCACCTGGCAAGAATAATTTATTCTACATTCCTTTCAGAGGCACAAGGTCGTGCCGTGGGCTTATTGAAGCAGTTTGTACCTGTTTTTCGGGCAAGGCTGAGTGTCACTGCCTATAATCATAGTTTTTTAACTATACAATGCCCAGGTTATATGATGGTTTTGCGTGGTCTCCTGAAAGTGGTATAAGTGGGGTTCCACTGTAATTCGTAACTGATGAGGATACATACAGAAGACAGTGGTGCAACACTTTCTCAATACCACAAATAAAGAAATAAATCTGGGATCAGCACAAGTGGGTTCAACTGTACTAGGCTTTCAAAATGCAGAACTTTAAATGCATGTCATACAAAAGACAGTTTCAAAGCGAACTGTCTTACTATAGAGCCTGCTCACCTTGTTTGCACACTGGGACATGGCCTTTTTGACCATGATTCGTGTGCCGAGCACTTCGTCCAGCATCCTGAAAGTGGCCAAGCAGTTTGTTTGATTATTCAGATCACCATGCTCACCCAGGCAAAACAAAAACAGCCTAAGTGTGAGTGACAGTAACAGAAGCTTTGTGTCCATAAGGAAGATCATAAGAACAAAATTAAATAAGAAACTGCAGACAAACTTGAGAACATGACTGCGCATCACAGGGAGGGGACACCAGAATTCATTTCAGTATCTGATATCAACATACAGTAAACTCTCAGTGAACGGAACTCCAAGGGACCAGAAAAATTGGTTCCACCTAACAGGAGTTCCGTTTACTGAGAGAGATGTAGAAAAGTGCTGATTTATGTGTACACACTCTCCTAATACTATTTTATGGATGCCTAAACACTATGAACTGCATGTAACTCGTAGTTTTTGAGAAAGCGAGTAAACTACATGAAATTTTTATACAGCATTCACAAGTTTATTAGGCAGCAATTAATCACTGTGGAATAAGAATGCATCAGTTTTCTTTTGTTTCAGTCCTTGCATCTTCATCTTCCGAATCTTTTTCTTCATGTCACTTAGGCTTCGAAGAAACTCTTCTGATTCTGGCTCCCTAAGAAACAAATTCCTCAGGTAAAGCACAGCAGACTCTGCCCCACGAAGTGTGGCAACTTCTTTGGAAGCTACCTCTTCAGAGTTCTTCCAGCTCCTCCTCCTCCTCCTCATTGCATAGTTCATCAACAATGCTTTCCACAATGTTGTCAGGGTAAGTTGCAACACCACTGTCAACTTGCACGTATTCATCGAAGTCCAGAGTGATTTCCTTTAGCACACTGCTCAATTACCCCTTGCCCCCTTTCAAGAGAATTTTCGCTGTCGCATTCAAAGTCTTCCAAGTCGGATGTCAGGTCACTTGAAGGAAATCCTACGTGCCTGAAGCAATTTGCTATGCTTGTGGGAGTCGGCTGCCTTCCGGCATCAACAATGATGTGAACGGCACCAAAAACATCCACCTTCTACTTTTTATCCTGGCTCATGCACAAGAGCATCCTTTGCAAGAGACCCTTGCGGAATCGTGACTTCAGGGCTTGAATAACACTCCGATCCATGGGCTGTAACAGTACTGTAGTGTTAGTTGGGAGAAACTCCAACTGAATCGATTTCAATCCTGTTACAGTCCCATGTCCAGGGCAGTTGTCAACGAGGAAAAGGACTTTCCTATTTTGTCGCGAAAATCGCGCATCCTCTATGTGCGGCCATTTGCTGAAGAGGGCTTGGGTCATCCAAACTTTCGAGTTGGAGTCGTAAGTGACGGGCACGGTAGTCATTCTCTTAAAACAGCGAGAATTTTTCAATTTTCCTATCACTAGGACCTTCAACTTGCCGCTGCCCGACATATATGCTACAACAAGAACAGTCAGTCTGTCTTTGCTCAGTTTTCCCCCTGTGTACAGTTCACCTTTTAAAGCGATTGATTTTGATGGCAGGAACTTTAAAAAAAGTGCGGTTTCATCGAAATTGTATATGTCATTGTCCTTGAACTACCGCATTATCTGCGGCAGCCGTCCTGCCCACCAGTTACGACACGCAGTCCCATCAGCTGCTGCAGCTTCTCCCGCGATAGTGCGAAAAACAAGGCCTTTTCATTTTTTAAGCCGTGTCAGCCAGCTTTCACAGCACAAGAAGTCCTTTATTCGGAGCTGAAGAACAAACTCTTCTGCTTTGGCACAGATTAGCCGCCCGTTGATGGGTGTGCTCTGGCTTCGGGCTCTCTTAAGTCACAAAACCACACACCTCTCCAGTTCTTCATGGTCACCATGACACAGACGCTTCCTCTGGGGCCCGAATCGCGAAGTTTTGAAGGCATCTCGTAGCTTGTCCTTGTCGTGCAGGATCCTCGTTAGGCTGCTTTTCGAGACGCCGTGCTTCGTCGCGAGCGCCGTCTTTGAGTATGAGCTGCTTTCGAAGTCAAGAATGATGTCCATCTTCTTTTCCAATGTCAGCGTATGGTGTGCCCGCTTCTGCGTCGCCATTGGAACAACGGAGACGAGGCCTCAACTTTGCAAGCGCTTATGAGCCACCAAAGTTGGAAGACACTAACGCGGCAATGAACCCCAATAGGCACCACGGCGGCAGGAATGATGCAGCTATAACCAAGGCGACTCGAACAAAGACTGAACGACTTGATCAAGAACGGCAATGTAGCATTCGTAGCGTCGACTACCACCGAGGCAAGGCCAAAAAGAGGCTTACGACGGCTAGGAAAAAGAAAAGAAAAAGCCAGAACCAGAAAAGGCTGATGCTAATGGCAATAGGTCTGCCAGAAGTTCTATTTTCGGTTCCGTTTATACAGTGAAGTGCAAATTTTAGTTCCGATTAACAAAAGTTTTTTTTTGCCTTTTCTGAATACAAAACCAACAAAATTAGTCGCTACTGTTCCATTTACCTGGCAATTCCATTTAGATGATTTCTGTTTATTGAGATTCTACTGTATATACAAATATGGAAGGTGTTGCTTCCCATTTATTAGATACTGTAGTTACCCAGACAATTATCATACAAAAATTTTTTAATTGACACAAGTTTAACAGTGCTATCATTGCGCTAGGTAAGCCTGTCCCAAGTAGAATTTTCCATTATATAGAAGCTGCATGAAGTGTTCACTGCCCTTCCATTTTTCTCTCATTCTATGAAAGAACCCTCGTTTTCATTCATATTGTAGTGCTCACTAATGTCACCGTAGAATTCGTTGTCAGGGATAGCAGTGTGATTGCTGGAAGCGCAGCCACAGTCACAAAGAAAGACAAGAAAAAATTATGCAGTATTACCTGGTGCTCTTTCAACATCACGACCAATGAGAACATTGCCTTTCATGCAAGCTTGATTAGCGATAACTCATGGTGATATTGTGATGATTGCCCGATGCGTCAGCGTCGGTTAGCAATAACACTCCCGACCCACTGCACGTATTAGCAAGATTGGCATAGTGTGAGATAACCGTGCCTCACAGAGGGTCAAACACCTTGCAAGAGTACCTGTGAAAGTGAGTGCATGAATATGCAGCCCTCGCTTAACCTTGCCCTAAACTGCACATGATGGCACACTCAGACAAAGTCTTGTTCAATGTATAAAACCCAAGCAACCCTACTAAATACAAGAATCATTGTGAAAGCAAGTTGTGATAACCAGTGACCCACACAAAAATCTTTTTGTGAGTTGCAAACATAATGGGTTTACAATTATGAACCAACTAGCTGAAAAATACATCTTGACCAGTCACAAATGCAAGAAACACAAAGGCAATCTGAATAAAAACACAGATAGCGTGGAAACGACTTCAATGATAAAGCTCATATATCAACATGTGAACTCCAAAAACAAACATGGAGCTTGAAAACCTTACTTTTGCTCACTACATGCACCAAAATCAACTTCAAAGGCCCACCATAAATACTACTTGAGAACTGAAAATACTGATCTAGGAGGCTGTGCTTTCACTTGCAGAAACCTGCAAAGGTTAGGGGCATCATGCGCCAAAGTGAGGGTGTAATTATTACGTGGGAAAAAGAATGAAATGAAACATCTTTAACAATGTTCAGGTGTGCTATCACACCCGAGTAAATACAGTAATCTTTATGAGGTCTGGTGCCTTTACATTTTATCTCGACAAAGCCTTCCGACTCTTGTGAGCAGAATTTTTATTGAAGTTTTATTCAGAAACAAGCTCCATTCCTCAAAACGCCTCTAAGCGGTTGCTAGATGCAGTCTGTACTTTCTGATGCATGCAGCATTCTCATCAGAGTGCAACCTTAAATAACGCACAATCACATTGGTACGCAGGTAAACGCGAAGAATACATGCTAACGAGCATCAGTAGAACACATGCTGCTGGGCATCAGTGCATGATTGATCTGTATAATGAGCCACAGTAAATAGCAGGGGGAGCACAAACGCTTCAGTAACTCACTGTGGCAGCAGGCCTCTGCGGATGGATGGCTTCACAAATGCCACTCCAGCTGGAGACACCGTAATGTGGTCACGCAAGCTCTGCGGACATAAAACAAATGCACAGTCACAAACGTAATGTGATGTAATGGCAAATCAAGGTTCTGTGAAAGCCCATAATGTGTATAGTGAGAACTAACAAGAGTTCTTGTAAATGCTGTGCTTAACAAAGAAAAATTAGCCCTTGAAATTCCCTTTCTTTCGTTAATTATGTGGACGAAATTTGAGGATGATGTTTATCAGTCATCATTGACAAATCTTCGATGAATTGTTCTGACTAGGCCTGAGCGAATAGAAAATTTTCGTTTTGAAGCAAAGGGTGATTTGGTCAAATAATTTCAAATCAGATTCAAATAGTATATATTGCCACTAGTACAAGTTCTGAAACTATTATTTCTACAGATGCTAGCATGCTTGTATGTGCCGCTGTTCAGAAGAGGACAAAGACGCGCGTGCAGAGAAAAACAATAGTCGTACTGCCGTTGTTCGAATCAGTTTGACGTCCTTGCGTGCCCTTATCAGCAGGTTACAGTCACGTTGTAACGTGACACTGGTGGAGGTGCTGGGTAATAGTCTATGCACTGTTACCACGAGGAAGATCTCAGTCCCAACATTGACACCTTAGTAGAAACAGCCAACCTTCGACGCAGTCGGCGGCAACTAGGCCTACCACCCCAGTTCAGCCCTCTTCCGGAACGCTCCAGAACCATGGCATATGCGACAACTGCAAGCCAGACTGAACCGTCCGCGACTCCGCCAGCACCATGGCTACCAGCCTCCCGAACGCCAAAGCCCTTCCATGGGGAGCCCTACGAAGACGTTGAAGACTGGCTGGACCAATACGATCGAGTCGCCGTCGCCAACGAGTGGGACGAGCACCGGAAACTGCGGTATGTCTATTTCTACCTGGAGGATTCGGCGCGTATTTGGTTCGAGAATCACGAGGCCGCCCTGACAACCTGGCCGGTGTTTTGCACTCAGCTGCGGAACACGTATGGTAGCGCTGACCGGAAAGAACAAGCCGAACGTCTCCTCAATTCTCGCAATCAACGACCCAATGAAAGCGTGGCCATGTTTGTTGAGGAGATGTCTCGTCTGTTCCGTCGAGCGGATTCTGCAATGACGGAAGACAAAAAGGTGCGCATTCTGATGCGGGGTGTCAAGGAGCAGCTGTTTGCAGGACTTGTACGAAACCCACCAGCTACCGTGGCAGAATTCCTCCGTGAAGCGACGACAATGGAGCGAATGCTGAGACAGCGATCTTCGCAGTATGAGCGGTCCGACAACCTTGCATGTCTGTCAGCAGCCTTGGTAACACCCGATGTCACGAGCGTGAGAGACCTTGCTGAGCTAGTCCGTAGCATTGTACGCGACGAGCTGCAAAAGCTTCACGCAGTGCCTTCACAGCCTCAAGTGGCTGCTCTGACAGACGTCGTCCGTGAAGAGGTGCGGCAGCTGGTACGACCATTAGCGCCACCTCCAACCGAAGCTCCTCTGCTAACGTATGCGGAAGCTGTACGTACTCCTGCACCGGCAGCCAGCTATTTCCCCCGACCGACTAGCCTGCAGACGCCACAGCACTTCTCGGGCGGGCCACGCTATGAAAACCAACGACTGCAGATGCCGCAGTACTTCTCGGGCCCACCACACTATGAGAATCCGCGACCCAATTTGCGTAAATCTAGCGTGTGGCGCGCTTCCGACAATCGGCCACTATGCTACCACTGTGGTGAGCCAGGTCACCTGTACCGGGAGTGCTCGTACAGACAGATGGGCCTACCTGGATTTCGGCCAGACGCTCGTCGGCCCAGGGACGGCGAACGACCCCGCGCCATCGCAGAATACTTGGCAAGTCTATCGTCTCCGAATCTTCAGCGACGCCAATCACGCTCTCCGTCTCCTCGACGCTCTACGTCCGCGAATCAATACTCCACTTTCGCCGATGTTGTTGCGGGACGATCCGCTAGGTCCCCAAGTCCACGCCGGGGAAACTAGAATCAGCGGCCTCCGGGGGTGGGACCGCTGTTAAGCTATCGTCAAAACAGCCTCCTCCGACCCTTCCACCGACCTTCGACGATTCCTTTCAGCCGACACCTCACATCGCTGACGAACCCGTTTCTGCTGACATTGCCGTTCGTGTCGACAACCATCCAGTGACTGCTCTAGTCGACACCGGCGCCGACTACTCAGTTATCAGCGCTGAACTTGTGGCTGAACTCAGGAAAGTCACGACTCCTTGGGGGCATGAACCAAACCTTCGGACAGCCGGTGGTCATCTCTTGACACCAATCGGGAGATGCACCGCAAGGCTGCAAATCTGTGAGTCGACGTTCGTTGCTTCTTTCGTTGTGCTTCCCGAATGCTCCCGGAAAGTAATCCTTGGCATGGACTTCCTTCGTGAGCACGGCGCTGTTATACATCTTCGAGACTGCCTCGTAACGTTTGCTGACGACTATGGCCCGAAGCCTAGAGATACCAATCCGCAGAAGACTGCGCTTCGCATTGTCGACGACACCGTCACACTTCCGCCACGCACCAGTATGTTCGTTACAGTACAGGGCGACATAGACCATGCCAGTAGTGGTATCGCTGAAGCCAACCTTTCGGTGCTCTTGTCTCAGCAAATCTGTGTTGCCCGCGGCATAATTCAATTTAAACGTGGGATGACTGAGTTGTTGGTCACCAATTTTAGTGGATCATACCAACATTTGGCCAAGCGAACAACTATCGCTCATTTCGAATCCATTGACGATGAAGCGTGTACGACGATAGCCCCAATTTCTGCAGCCGTTGAAAGTGACACCGCGGTAACCGATGCAGTCGATGTCAATCCGCAGCTGTCATGTGCACAGAAAGAGCAAATCCGCTGTATCCTCCGCATGTTTAGCGACTGTTTCGCGTCTACATCCAAGATAAAACAAACGCCAACCGTAAAGCACCGCATTGTCACTGACCATTCTGAGCGACCCATACGTCAACACGCCTACCGAGTATCACAAAAGGAACAAGAGGCTATACGTTCTCAAGTGAAGCAGATGCTCGAAGATGGCGTAATCCAACCCTCGAACAGTCCATGGTCGTCCCCCGTCGTACTGGTAAAAAAGAAGGACGGCACTCTCCGATTTTGCGTCGATTACCGCAAACTCAACAAAGTCACAAAGAAAGACGTTTATCCGCTTCCGCGCATCGACGACTCACTAGACCGCCTCCGACACGCCCGATACTTCTCCTCTATGGATTTACGCAGTGGCTACTGGCAGATCGAAGTTGATGAACGCGACCGAGAGAAAACAGCATTCATAACGCCTGATGGTCTGTACGAATTCAAGGTGCTGCCCTTCGGTCTGTGTTCTGCCCCTGCGACATTCCAGAGGATGATGGATACAGTGCTCTCCGGTCTCAAGTGGGAAGCATGCCTTGTTTACTTAGACGACGTCGTTGTCTTCTCCCAAACGTTTGAGCAGCATTTGCAGCGACTTAGATCTGTGTTTGCTGCAATTCGCACGGCAGGCCTATCACTGAAACCCGAAAAATGTCATTTTGGTTACAACGAATTAAAGTTCCTCGGTCACCTTGTTAGCCCTGATGGTATTCGGCCGGACCCAGACAAAACATTGGCTGTCGCAGATTTTCCACCACCTACCAACAAACGTGATGTGCGTCGATTTTTAGGCCTCTGCGCATACTACAGACGCTTTGTGCAAAATTTCGCAAACATTGCCGAACCCCTCACTCGTCTGACAAAAGACGACGTTCCCTTCGTGTGGGGCCTTGAGCAAACACGCGCTTTCTCCGAGCTCCAGCAGCGTCTCCAATCTGAGCCCTTACTCGGACACTACGACGAATACGCCGACACTGAACTACACACAGACGCCAGTAACATCGGCCTTGGTGCAGTCCTTGTCCAGTGGCAAGGCGGTGTCGAACGCCCTATTGCTTATGCGAGTCGGATTTTATCATCTGCGGAGGCAAATTACACAACAACTGAAAAGGAGTGCCTAGCTGTTGTCTGGGCAATAGCTAAATTCAGACCGTACCTGTATGGTCGCCCGTTCAGAGTTGTTACCGATCATCATGCGCTCTGCTGGTTGGCGAACCTTAAAGACCCTTCCGGACGTCTGGCCAGGTGGAGCTTACGCCTTCAGGAGTTCGATTTGACAGTCGTGTACAAGTCTGGCCGGAAGCATACTGACGCGGACTGCCTTTCCCGAGCTCCTCTTAAGACAGTGTCAGGTGATCACGATCTCGACGGCCGTTTTCTCTGCGCCGTTAGTGTATCCGACTTGGCCGAACAGCAGAAGAACGATTCCGAACTTCGACAATTCATCGAATATCTCGAAGGCCGTACGCCGCATCCACCACCAGCATTCGCCCGCTCGTCATCATCGTTCTGCGTCCGCAGAAATATCCTCTATAAAAGAAACTTCGACCCTTACGCGACTGAGTACCTGCTCGTTGTCCCGCCAGCGTTACGAGCCGATGTCTTGTCCGCCTGTCACGATGAGCCTTCCTCAGGCCACTTGGGATACACACGTACCTTGGCCCGGATTCGCCAACACTACTACTGGCCTAAGCTCAGTCGAGACGTGAAGCATTACGTGAAGACGTGTCACGAGTGCCAGCTCCGTAAAGCACCACATCAGCGCCCAGCCGGCTTTTTGAAGCCCATCGTTCCTCCGACACAACCGTTCCAACAAATAGGCATGGATCTACTCGGACCTTTTCCCAAGTCTCGTGACGGCAACCACTGGATTGTAGTCGCTACGGATTACATGACGCGCTACTGCGAAACGAAGGCATTACAACGTGGCACCGCCATTGAGACTGCCCACTTTTTTATGAAAAACATCGTCCTCCGACATGGAGCACCAGCAGTTGTCATAACTGATCGTGGCACAGCTTTTACCGCCCGGATGATACAAGACGTCATGCAGCTTAGCGGCACAGTACATCGAAAAACTACTGCATACCACCCACAAAGCAACGGCCTTACAGAGCGACTAAACAAGACGATCGCCGACATGCTATCCATGTACGTTGACCAAGACCACAAAAACTGGGATGACATCCTCCCTTATGTCACGTTCGCTTACAACACAGCTGTGCAAGAAACAACTGGATTCACACCATTCCGGTTGCTTCATGGCAGGGAGGTCACTACAATGCTGGATGCCATGCTTCTACCAGACAGACACCAGATTAGTGTCAAGACGAACGAATTTATCAGACTGGCAGACGCGGCCCGTAAGCTTGCAGTCGAACGAATCCATAAGCAACAATGCATCGACTCGCTGCGGTACAACGCTCGTCGTCGCGATGTCTCTTACCAACCCGGAGAACGAGTATGGCTGTGGACTCCCAATCGACAACGGGGCCGGTCGGAAAAGTTGTTACGCCGCTATTTTGGTCCCTATAGAGTTCTCCGTCGTCTCAGCGAAGTGAACTACGAGGTTCTTGACGAGGACATGGCTCGTCAATCCCGCCGTTTACAACAGCCACACGTCGTCCATGTTTCGAGGATGAAACCATTTTACCAACGCTGACTATTCGTCACACTCCCTTGAGTAGACTTACAGTGATTGTGAACACCCCCTTGTGTACTGCTTATCGTGTGTGTTTTCATCTGGCAATAATGTTATGACATCGGGACGATGTCCTTTGGGAAGGGGGGTAATGCCACTAGTACAAGTTCTGAAACTATTATTTCTACAGATGCTAGCATGCTTGTATGTGCCGCTGTTCAGAAGAGGACAAAGATGCGCGTGCAGAGAAAAACAATAGTCGTACTGCCGTTGTTCGAATCAGTTTGACGTCCTTGCGTGCCCTTATCAGCAGGTTACAGTCACGTTGTAACGTGACAATATCATATATTATATTTAAAAAATGAGCATATTTGTCATCACACAATCAACCTGCACAGTATTGTTTTTACAAAACAAGGCAAGTGCCAATACCATATTTTTATTCACAGAAAAAGAAAAGTGGAAGCAGCTCTGAATGGTAGAGTAAAATATCCTAACAGCAAATCTCAGATTAACTACTATTCCGAAAAGCCCCCTCCAAATGTCCATCAGTTTAATGCAAAAATATTTCACTGGTACAAGTTTCAGAATAGCAAATGTTTCTGAATAACATATGCTTACTCGCAGCAGCGAAAACAATGCCTAGTTCTGTACGTGCCACCATAATCAACATCATCATCAAAATGCCAGTGTATTTGTGCCTGCCCTATTTAAATGTGCAACAACCCTATTGCCATCACCTGTACTTGTTTTCCGTGTCGGGCATTGCCTTGATGCTTTGGTTTCGTTAGGCAGCTGACTGCACATGTTATGTGGCTGTTTTTTTGCCTTTCGCTTGGTGGTTGTACGCACATAATGGGCCCCGGAAGCAGCACGAAAAAAATGCGGCGACAGGGAATATGCAGCAAAATCAACCTATGGCACGAAGTTGCCAAGAATTGCTTGTGGATACTGCATTGAGGGGAAGTGCAGGTCGAAAACGCGAGTTTTTTTTCAAAATTACCGATTTTAATTTTCGCCTGTTTTGATAAGATTGGAACCTCTACTGTAATTAAAAAATTACACCGGTCGAGACTTAACTGGAAATGCTATAAAATTGCATCTAAAGAGCACAAGGTGCCTGTTAAAAAGTCGAAAGTGTGCCGTCTTCGAGCACCTTGCCGCCAATAATGCGCCGCCGCTCGCCATTGTTGATCCCATGAGTCGAAGAGTCGAGCCTCACTCTTCAAATAACAACAGTTTCTCTCACTGATGCAGCACAAGAAATAATAAAAAGAACCACTCTTCTGCGCGTTTCTGGCTTATCACATGGTACGAATCGGGGACCGCCATTGGCCGCTGCGCGCCTGTATGTGCTGTGAAACCTATTTGCGGGGTCCATGTCTTGTCCAGCAGCGCAGCTGAACAATGCTTTTCTCGGGTAGTTATCTCTATTATGAATGAAAAAAGGCATTGCTCGCAAGTGAAAGCCATTGTGTGGCGCGCTCTGTAGGAATAGGCTAAGAGCAGCTGGTCCGATTTGCGGCAGTTGTTGGCTTGCAAAAGCCAATGCATCAAAGTCATTGACACCCGTCAGCCGGAAAGTTCGTGATGTGGCAATGGATGACGTCAGCGCCAATCTTGAGAAGTCGAAAGAGCTCCTAGTGAGAGAACTTAGCAGGGACGACATTGCCATTATGTACGACGGTATGTGGCACAAACATGGCTGCAAAATGGCATGACACAGGACTTAGTTTAGATATCGCAGTCCTGGCGAACTTCTTCCTAGCTTGCAGTTGGCACATGGCTCTGCCAGATGAGCCGAAGTTTGACAAGCGTTTCAAGGCCCTGTCTGTGAGCGAAATGTCTGTAAGGAGTCGGCTCGAAAACGCCGAGAGGGACAAACTCATGGTGCTGGCGTGTTTTAGTCGCAGTGGCCACTACAATAAAGATTGTTCTTTTTGGTGTGCAAATTTCATCTGATTTCATAATATCTTTCATAAAGAAAAACTCAATTTTAACTTTAAAACTCGTTTTCCTCAAAACACAAATTTTGCCATTTTTTCCAAAGTGCCCCTCTTTTTTCGGGCACTTCTAGTGCTCGAATCTGCATAAAATTTCGCCCAAATTTTTTCTAAAGTATAACAAGTGCAATTATCTAGTTTAAATTTCAATATTTTATTGTATAATAAAAAATTGTATGTATACGTTTACTAGGATAGGTGAAATATGGACTTTTTACGTCTATTATTTTTCACGCGTATTACATATTTTGTAAGTGCTTCCTAATTAGTTATTTGCACTCCACACTTTATTTGAAGCATTATGAACTATAAATGGTAAAACATTACAGAACTTTAAGGATGAAAAGAGGGGGAGCAAAAGGATTAAGGTTTTCACTTTGTCATGTTGCAGAGCTAAAAGTGTGTAACTTGCAAGAAAACTAATTATATATTTGAAATCAGCATAAAAATTTCCATAAACAGCTCAAGTTTCATTGCTCTAGGGTGAATATTAAAGAAAAAGTGTCTTCAAGTAGGATCTCCCCTTAACGCTTCAACTAGGGTGTGGGAATATTCGAAATTCCTAATATTTTTCTAATTGTGTTTGTTATTCGATTCGATTCCCACTGGAATTTTGCCTACTCAAAGCATTCAAACTTCCCGAAGACAAACACAGTTATTAACAGCCAAATGGCACTAACCCTTTCAGATTTCTTTTATAAGCTTAACTTCATCACACTTTTGTATTGTGGCAAAGCTGCCTTTCAGACTCTGCTACGATAGCAAAGGTATTTTGAGTCGAAAAAGCGCTGGCTCCAACATGAAGATGTACTAAGAGATTACAATAACCCTTCCATATATTTATGCTTCACGGTGTCACATACTGGTATTGCAGCAAAGCTGCCTTTAAAACTCCATTATGGCCCTTAACTGACTAGCAAAAGAGCTGGTACGAACCTACGCGGCAGAGGTGGGGGCTTTAATTAATTAAGTTTTGAACCAGACTGTCAGAAAGAATCCAACGAAGATTTTCAGCATCCGAAATTTTAGATGCTTTTGTACCCCGATGTCTGCAGGGTAAAAAAAAAAGTAATTTTTGTAGGGCAATGCAAGGGGCGGTGGGAGTGCGAGAATTATGTGGGTGCGAAAACTATGCATGTAAATATGATTATTCAAATTTGAATCCAGGGGTCTTCGAATACTATGATATTTGTTCAAATATTTGTACAAGCCTACAAATTTAGATAAAATGGGTCGATCTACAATAGTGTAAATATGGTAACTCAGAAGACAAACGAATGACGGCTCTTCCGTCCACTTCATTCTAAAGAACATTGAGGGCACCACAGAAAATACAAACCTGCAGAAGCATAACGCAAACCTAGCAAAAAGGCTGTCAAGGCCTAGAACACGCACCTTCACATATTGCAGGGGCACCTCAAGCGAAGAACAGCCGAAAGGTGCCGAACTGAAATGAAAACAGGACGGTGAGTGAACCATGCTAGTTGACGTGGCTATTAGCTAAGCACTCATACCAACATCTGCAACACAGTGGTATAAAATACATTGCAGTCCCATTTGCCCCTGAACTCACAACTTCCTGTAGAAACATGGATATAAGGAATTACCAGTTACAACGAGGTAAATGAAGAAGAGTTTTGACATACACAGTGTTAGGAATTTAAAAGTGAACGTATGCAACAGAGATTTGTCTAGCTGGGTAAAATAAACTCTCCAGCCACTTTTAGTCCAGAGTTTCTAATGTTAAAATATAAAAACTATAAACTGACCCGATGTTTCCGGATCAATTCGGTCCCTTCCTCAGGGGTGACTGTTCGGCCAGCTCCGAAGCTAACGCCTTTTCTCAGAGGTGTCCCCCTCTCCATCGTCCTTCTTCCCATTGTTTTTCCTCCTGCGGTGTTTTCTCTACTGGTTTCGTAGACCGTCCACTTGTACGCTCGGTAAGGTCCCCATGCAACTGGGAACTTATCGAGTATGTACGTGCACTTGTCGCTGCGTTACAACGCAGTAACAAGAGCGATGGTGGAGAAGGAGACCATCACTAAAAACTAGTAAAAAATGCTAGCTTAGGAGTCAGCCAAACATTCACCCCTTGAAGATAAGACCAAATGAGTCTCAAAACATAGGACCAGTTTTTAAAATTAAAAACTGAAGACTAAATACAGCAGTAAAGTCTCTGTTCACTGAAGTTTGATATCTGTGGCAGTTTCAAAAATGAATTACGTTGCTAAGTGAGCATGTGCCCATGTGCGCCCATGTAGGCATGCTGCACCACACATTCCATCCAGGCAACAGCAACACCACCCGGGCACTCACCTGCCGAGATTCTCGACTCGTCCCAGGCAGGTGGAGAAGCAGTAGTTGTGGCTGATGATGACTGACGGGTAGAGAGACTGGAAGTCCAGCACCACAACAGGGTCCGTGTAGAGCTGTGCACGAGGCTCCAGCACCAGAGGAATGAACTCAGGCGCCCTCTGGCGAGCGCGCTGGGCCGTGGATGCACTCAGTGCCACCATTCGATGGCTGCGTGCCAGCCGCAAGAGCATGGACTCCACCCGGAACTGAGAATGTCACACACACAAAAGTGATGTGGAGACCAGAAACATTGAAGACAGGATTTCAGCGGAAATTAACTGCTTCTATTCAACGAAGTGTTTAACAATGCAATAATCGAGAGAGTGGATGAAAGAGCTCTGCTGCAAACTTGCCACAGCAGCCCTACTTCCATTAACTATTCTGAACATCTGTGTGCCTTTTAAGCTCTTCATTCATACACTTTTTGACGACACCAAGTCACTAAAACACACTCTCAACTGACGGCTAAAGAAACAACCAAGTACAGTCAAACTCCGCTACAACGAACACCGCTTCAACCAAATTTCCACGACAACGAAAAATTCCTGATTCCCGTTAGCAGTCCATAGGAGTCAATGCATAAATATTTTCACCACAACGAACACTTTTTATTCGATCATCCCACTTTAACGAAATTTTACGATGCAATGCTAGGCTCCGATACTTATTTCTATGCAGTAAACCCTATCTTTAACATTTCTATGCATTTTCAAAGCCTGAAAATGCATCAACGAAGTCTAAAACACGCATTGGGACCACCAGAAACCGCCACCATTGCTCGATAGAGATGACAATGATACTGCCCTGCTTTTGTTTTGCCACTGGCTTGCTTTTGAGCCGCAGACGATCCGAAGCTGAAGCTCAGTTGCTCAGTTCATGGTGTCTTTCTGGCAGCTGCTGTTTGCAACCACGGAACGATGCCTTTTCCGATTCCGATGCTTATCATTATGTTCGCGCTTGGCCAGTGTCGTAACTAATCAGAGCTGCTGTTCATTCGCATTATCAACAAAATCAGCTAGTCGTGATATTGAATGATAAGAATGGCTTAAAATAATGCAAAAGCCGCTCCACGATACCCTGCCTCTATCTCGACGTTGTCAGATACTTTTGACGGCGGATAGCTGCTGGTGTTAATGTGTTAATGCCACTGGTTTGGTTCGTTCACGAAAGCGCTTTTAGGCGTTGTTTCAGCGCGCTTTTCACCATGCCCTCACTATGCATGGGTGAGAATCACGTCGTGACGCTGCTGCGAAAAAATAGGAAGCAGCGACATTTTTTGAATTTTGAGAATAAACGTTCATTCGTTTTGCTAGCTCAAATCAGCGTTATTTTTTTCGATTTCACTACAACAAAATTTTTGCTCCAACGAAATTTTTTCCCGTACCCCGTCAGTTTCGTTGTAGCAGGGTTCGACTGTACAGGTAGCCCTCAATATATTAAACCTCAACATAAAATTCACACTATTGCAAGAGTTCTCTCATATTAGACAACAGCATATAAAATTACAGGACCGATCCCTGAAGCATCTGTTATGTATTCCTTAGCAAAAAAAAATAATAAGCCTACCCAGGCATCACGTCATACCGGAGAGAGGAGAAATGGTAGAGAAGCAAAGGCAGGGGGAGGTTAACCAGTCCAGGAAAGCCGATTTGCTACCCTACACAGGGTAGCGAAAACAGGGAGACTGAAAGAGATGTACAAAAGCGGTGCCCACCTGCGACCCGCGACTTAGCACCTCGTAGAACTGAATGCCAAAGATGCGCGCCATCTGGCTCGTCTTGCCAAACACATTCAGCTCGTCGAGCAGCTCCAGGTTGCCGCGCGCACGAAGCGCGTAGTGCTCCACAGTACGCCACCTGCACCCAAACCCATAAGCATTGTCACAGACAGCTGGCATATTCCCAAGCATAGTAATCGTCGACTCCCAAAGCTAATAAGCGCTGTGTCTTTTCCTTCTATTGTCTGTATCCTAACTGCTAGTCGCACTGCTAGTTATTCCACGATGCTCGTCATCTAGCTTGTTCGCATTTTCATTCTTGAACCCTTAGTTCTTGCAATCTTTCCATCAATAACGCCATGTCATGCTGATAGCAAGCGCATCATGTGAGCTATAAGTGTCAGGCACACAATGTTAAAGCAAGAAAAAGCATGCAAGACAGATGACAGTAACTTCTGCATGACAAAAAAGATGCTTCCCCACCCTCTACCTCCAAATGGTGCAAGTGTTTTGAAAGTGCACCAACACGATTTACTATTAGCAACACTTAAATAAGCAATCTTCTTCAACGTCCCCCAAACAAGAAGCCCAAATCACACTGGCGGTAGGCCAACACCTTGGGGGATTTGACAACCATGTCAAGACACCTTCACAAGAGCAATGATAAAATGACAACTGCACTTTGAACACCACATTGTGTGCACACGGCATTCCATAGCTGTACCAAGATACAATAAAAGCTTATTTAAACCTTATTTACAATAATTTTTTCAACAACTCTTGCTAGGCGGTGTGGTAATAATAATAACTATTGAAGTGCAATGTCCCGAAATGGTGAATTGATTATGAGAGACACTGCAGTAGTGCACTCTGAACATTTCAACTACTTAGGGTTTTCATGCACCTAAGTGTAAGCTCACCGGCCTTAAGATAGGGCTTTGCGGTAATGCGGATTTCCTCTGGAAAGAGGCTTTCACAGCTTAGCACATTTACACTGCAGCCACCTTTACAAAAGTTAACATTGCAGTTTAACGTACACTTATTTATTCATTTCCTCTAAAGCTGCAAGCTTTGTCAAATGTGGCGCATTAGAGCAATGCCAGTGAAGGAGGCGGTACCAGTACGCTCACCTGAACAGGTCCTTGCTGAACCACTCCGAAAGCAGGCGGAACGAGTAGAGGGGCACTCGCCGATGCATCACATGGAAGTAGGTGTTCTCAAAGGTGTAGATGTTTAGCGCTACCTGCACACGTAGGAATACACAAGGGCAATCGTGAAAACGTGTCAGGAGAACGCTGGGCTGACATTCAGCTATTGCTACAGCACCAAAATGGCATGCCCCATCAACTTCCCTCATCAGCAAGACTTAATCCTTTGTAATGTCAGGGGTCGGTCCTGGGGCCACTGTTATTCTCACTATACGTAAATGATTGGCCATGCATACTCCAATCGACCGAGTTGCTAATTTACGCTGATGACATAGCTTTAATAGTTACCGCCGTTAGCATAGTCGATTTAGAATATAGAGCTAATGAAGAACTAAAATATATTTGTAAGTGGTTTACAGTGTACAAATTAACACTGAATGCAAAGAAAACCAAATACACCATTTTTCACTCCCGTTACCGAAATGTAAACTGTGAGTCATTTCGACACACAATGAACAAATGCCAACTTGAGTATGTAAAAGAATTTAAATATCTCGGTGTAGTGTTTGACAGCCAATTACACTGGAAAAAACAAATTAATTCTGTATGTACTAAGCTAGCATCTGGCTGCAGTATGCTACTGGCTGCTAGAAATTATTTTAGAAGAAATATTCTCCGAGTCCTTTATTTTTCGTTTGTTCAATGTCATCTATCATACTGCTTAGTCTCATGGGGATGGACCTTCAAAACTTACCTTGATCCTATCCGCTAATCACAAAAGCATGCACTTAGAATAATAGATTATGCAGCATATAATGAACCCAGTGCGTCCTTATTTCACAATTTGGAAATTCTACCTTTTGATTACTGATGGCAGCATAAAACCGCAGTCACCATCGGTAAGGTTATTGCACACAGTGTACCTTTCGATGTATCTATCTTTTCTTCCTCGTCCCGCGTCACTAGATGCATGACATTGCGGAATTTTAATCTTCCACCTACTAAAAACGTGTATGGTGAACGCCTACTACAGTTCATAGGAGCTGCAGTGTGGAGTAACATACCACTTCAGATTTAAGATTCTAGGGCTAGCGTGTAGAACAATAGTATTGACCATGTACAAAACCTTACACATAGTTTGATGTTTTGCCTGTACTTGTTTATTTGATTATTTATGAACAAAGTGCAACAATGTGTTCTCTATATATTTCTGTACGTTCTATCAAGCATTTACATCACCTTCAATACTAATGATATCTTCTTGTATTTTTGTTTGTTTTCTTGAAAAATCATAATTGTTTTGATGTTATCAGCTGATTTTTTTTATACAAATTGTATTCTGCTTGTATACTTTTTCTTGTTAGACCCCTACAAGCCTATGGCTATGGGTCTAATCAGTGTTGTGCATTTCATGAAATGTAATCAGAACAACCTCAATAAAATCCCAAAATCCGTTTTTAAAAACTGTCACTTCGTAGCTGTCTACCGTACTCATACACTGAAATGTGAGTTTTTTTTTTTTTTTTTCATAACGCCTAATATTAGAAACTTCTCTGACATGACATGGCTATCTCACGATAGCCATGTCATGTCAGAGCGAACATGGCAGCTAATAATCATTATGGCTCTGAAGTAAAAGTTGAGTCAAAATTTTCCTAGCATGACACAAACTGTTGACTCTGGAACTGAAAGTATGATCATTACTCAGCCCCTAACTTTCATGTTTTCATCCAAAAGTAGTATGCCTTCTTGCGAGTATTGTGCCCACGAGTATTGTATCTACAAGTATTGTATCCAAGAGTATTGTATCCATGAGTATTGTATCCATGAGTATTGTGCCTTCTTGATCCCCAAGTATTGTGCCACACACCAAAGGGACTCTCCAATCTTTTCTGTCCGCCCACATAATCTTGCCGCCAGGCGTCACAGTTGGTGCTACCACGCTAACCATAATGAGGGTGATGGTGAAGATAACATGTGAGCGCTGCACCACCTACCAATTGATGGTTGTTGTCCCTAAACGTGAGTCATCTGCGGAAAACGAGTGCACCACGAGGCGCAAACAACTTTGAAGGGGGTGATAGCACCCCCCAACCTCTTTCATGCCTGAGGCATTGCACAATTTGGTTAAATATGTCACCATCTCTCTCAGCCATGCAAGATTAACACAGCATAATGCTTAACGAACCTCCTTGCGCAGGATCCGCCAGGCGCACAGCAGGATGCGTCCCAAGATATCCTTGCGGCCCGGTGGCGGCGGTGCCCGTGAAAGCCGCGCATACAGGTCCAGATCCAAGCGCTCGGCTCGATCGCACAGGTAACCCCAGGACGCTCGTTCTACATCATACCCCAGCAGCACGTCTGGGTCCCATCTACATCGAAGATGACAAACACCCTTCTGCAGCAACTTGCTGTCGTTCGTGTTCAGACGGCAACCCAAAACAGTGCTTTGGGATTACGCATGGAAAATCTCTACAACAGCCCCAGGCAGCAGGCTAGAATCACTTTTCGTACAAGAAGACGGCATTCTCAATGCTTCGACAATGCTCTCAAAAATACAAGAAGAAAGTAGTATTTCATGCATACAACGCAAACATACTTTCCCATTGCAGCCAATTCGCTGCTTCCGCAGCTTGCGAAATTTCCCCACCAGTCTTTTTTTTTTTTCTTTCTTGCTCTTTGCAAAATCAGGAACACATTACATGTGGGCATACCCTTCGTGATTGTGAGCAAAGAAGGAGAGGATGACTGATGCTGCCTGTTCTCTCATCAATCCTGCGCAACTTTTGGGCACTAGTCAGACACCAGCCAGCATTGGTGTCTGGCAAAACATTCTTGTGTTACCATAAGCACACCATCAAAATTGAATGAATGGGGTGACAAACTGTCAATAGCACCCTAGAGAAACGAAACCGACTATAGTGTAAGAGGAACCAAAGGGGTAAACATTGCAATTGTTGTATAACTCATTAGTGTCATGTTCTCTTTAGAATTGTATTTAGAAATATAAAAATGAAATCGAATTATGATTTACTTTATTCATGAAATGGAATATATGCGCACAAAAATGTGAAACAACAGCCTGCACAGCTAGTGGCTGGACCAACGTGGAAAATACAGTAGACTCACAGTAAACGAAACTGCCATGTAAATGGAACAACTGCCTCCAGCACGATTGGTTTTATTCTTAGATTTTCCATTCTTGATCATCTCTCAGTAAACAAATCTGATCTCTTTGGGCTCTGTTAAACAAGAGACTGCGGTGCATAAATATTAGCAGCGTAGATAGCGTTAAACGATATACTGCAGTGTATAAAGGTTAGCATAGTAGATAAGTGATCACAGAGTAAGAAGATTTTGTTTGTAATTATGAGCAAGCTTAAATATATTAATTTACGTTTTGAATAGAAAAAAAGATATTTCACTTTACAACAAGAAGCATTTACATGCAAGCTCAAAGAGTTATTACATAGGCACAGTATTCCACGCTAGATCATAAAAAAAAGAAATAGTCATTCCTCTAAAGGTATTTTACCAATTCCAGCAGACTGCTGATGTGTCGTTAAGAGACACTGCCTCAGGGCCGTGATCAGAATGCAGGAATATGCAGGAATGCAGGAATATGATCAGAATGCAGGACACCATGATGCAAGCATCAATCTCACCTGTGCACCAGCTCAACCACAGCATGGAGAAGATCCAGCTCGGAGCGCACAACCTGGGTGCGCAGTGAAGTTGTAGCCACACCCGTGCGGTACAGAGAGGCTCCTACAAGGTCTTCCATGTCCACTTGCCGCGGATCTCCGACAGAGCACCAGTGCATCGCACCCGCCTCGAGCGGTGCATCCACACCGTAGCCACGAGCGCACCAGAGCACACACTGCACGGGGTCGTAATCGGGATCGGGACGGAGGTCGCTCCGTGTTCGCACGTGCACCTCCAGGCTTAGCACTGTCAGCACTCGCTCCTGCATTCCACAAACGCATAGCACAATGTCCCTATACAAGCTGGAAGTCACTAATCTTGCCCGTAGTGATGAGACAGCTGCTTGCAACAACCATGCATCAACTGAGTGTTTGATTGATTGATCTATGATCAACAAACCGACCAACTGAGATCTCTTAAAAAATTAGAAGCTGAAAGTTATGGAAGAGCATCACACGCAGGAAAAACATAAAATGCACAGACACCGCACTGATCCTCAGACAATTTTAATCCCAGTTTGTAGTACACTTTCACCCTTGCGTGTGTAGTTTATGTGCTAGTTATCATCTCTAGCTATGTACGAACTCACCAAAGCATCCGTTTTCGCTAAGTTCATCTCAGCAATAGCATTAGCTTCCTGAAGTTATCCTACAAGCTATCTAATAGTACTTCGTATGTGTGTTCGTGCATTTCATCTAAGACAACAAGATGTGCTTTATCAGGACTGGGAAACTAATAGAAGCTATGTGTGACCCAAACGAGTGTCACAACTTGCCAATGAAACCTTACGAGAGAAGTAAGCTCAAGCAACGTGCAGACACGTTGTATTATATGCTTCTACAGATCAAACAAACAGCATAAGAATGATTAAGGCCTGGAGCCATCACTTCAACACATGACCCCAGTAATAGCATATTCTCTGCCAAACACCAAAGCTGGTTACTTGAAATATGAGCGCGTGACGTGGAAAATGGATTAAGACAGGAACCTGTCTCTGTTATGCGCTCATATTTCAAGTAATCATGTATCCCCGACTTGCCCAAACAGCCATTTTGACCAAAGTTGGGATTTGATTGCTCCCACGAACAGTACTAACAAGGCTACTTCTCCGAGTACTGTGGAGACTCGCGTGTATTCTGATGAGATATTTGGGCTCCAGAAAGGCAGAGGAGTGAATACCTAAAAAATACTCAAATACTTGCGCACTGCAGGAAGCTATGACACCACTACCCACCTGCTCACAGAAAGGAGACTAAAGAACAAGCAGCGACTTGAGAGAGAGGGCAAAAGCAGGCACATGTCTTCATGGTACACTACTCCATGCAAGGAATCCAGGAAAATTAAACCACAACTGCACCTACTACCCAGAGAATGCGATTGCCCTGTACTGTATGGTACGGGATGCCCAAACGATTTTAAGTATTGCACCGATTAACAAACAGAGCGTAAAAGAAGAAAGAAAACCTCGAAGACCAGTAGGAAGCATTTCTGACAACACTACAACCTGCTTCACATGTGAGCGAGTAAGCAGTGGCGGTCGCAGCGATGAGCGGCAGCAGGACGCGCAGACACGGGTTCATTAAACATGCACCATTTTTTGCAAGACCTGCGCTAGATGCACCACGATGATTGGAGAAAGCAGTCGTCCCACAGGTCCCCTGTCTTCAAGTTCGCTTGTTTTAGTGCGCTTAGGCTGCAACTTGCACCAGCCTTCTGCTTCAGCGCTCGGTTTTTACACGCCTAAGCCTTGAATTATGAAAATGTAAAGTGAATCAGAGTGCGATTAAACAACTTCAGTATTCACGTTTATTTTTGTCCACCTCTCACCACGCAAGTCTTGTTGCATGCTCATAGACGTGGCCAGGTAAACACAAAATAAAAAGTCGGCTTTTCTAGTTCACAGGGCTGTCGGTGACTTTTGTTCTCGAAGGTGCAAAGCGGCGGTGCACCATCTGGAGAAGCAACCAGATGTAAGCGGACCAGCCGATCATAATGAGGGTGGGTAAGGGAGCTCGTCTCTCTTTTTGTGTGCATTCCAGTAAAGAGGCAGCGGCATTTTGTCATTCAAAGGAAGGATTGTCATTCAAAGGATCATTTATTGGGAGGTTAGTCACATGTACTTCATTCACGTTATTAGATCTTTACCTCTGTTCATCATCACCTCAATATGTGGTATACAACATAGAGTACTAACAACAAGAACTTTGAACCATGTGTTGTAAGTGCACTACCACTCTTTTTATGCAGTGAATTCAGCCAGCTTATACAGCCCCCTTGGCAAAGCTATGCAATGATGGGACAAAACTTCAAAAATGTTTTTCTCCGCTATGATAAATAATCACTTTGATTAAACTTTCTGAGAACAAATTCGCTGTGATCTTCAATCCTATGCAGTTTCCTGCTGATTTTTCCTTGGACCACCTTAGGGTGCTACAGATGTCTCAACTTACACCAAAGTGGCATTTTTGCCAAGTTCAGGATTTTATTTTTAGAGTCTATGCGCCACACACCGGCAAAACAAAAATATTTGTAAATAGTATGTCTTATGGAGAGTTTGACAGAAGTAATTTATGCATTGTATTGATGGTCACGTTTTGTAAAAAAATTCTCGAAAACACTACTATTTGCTCAGTTTTGTGTATGCTCTATAGTGAAAATTTTGTAGCTATCACAAGGAACTGTCTTATATTACAAGCACGTTACTCTAAAAACGCAAAAAAAAAGCAAGTATTGAAAGGATGTGCGATATTATGAATATATAAGTAACTTTTTTCATATCTGGTTTTCCACGATCTCTCGAATTTTAAATAGTGGTCACTGGTGCAAAAGCTTTTTGCTGCTCAAAATAATTTGGGAAAATACTTTAGAACTAATGTGTATATGTGTTTAATTCTCTCAAACTATTAGACAGAAACTTATGTTTGGCCAGCGCCCTAGTTGGGACAGTTGGCATGGAATGACCATCAGTTTAAGATATTGTTATACCAGCTTATATGCTCCAAGTATAGGGAAATTTAAAACATAACATATTTTACAGGTTATTTCAGTTGCATACTACTGAAAGTGAAATCCTGCTACTATTCCAAGTTATTTCTACATCCTTTGAACTGGAAAAAAAAAAAGACATTTGCACAGGCCTTGTTTCAAGTCTTAAAAAGTATTATGCAGGCTAGTTAGGCCATGACCAATATGGCCAATTTTCACTATAACATGTCATATACACTATTCTAATTTTATTCAATATCATTCCACCGAAATCACTACCATATTCACCCACGTAACGAATGCACTCGCATAATAAACGCACCCCCAGTTTCAATCACCAAAATTTGGATCTTTTTTTACTCCTGCATAATAAACTCACCCTCTACATTCATCCGCTGCAGTCTCGCAAGCTGACACCTGGTGCCCCTTCGCCTATTGAATCTTTTCTGTTTTTTTTTATTATTATGCTGACCCCCCTCGGCTTGCTCCTTTTCCTCCTTTGTCTGCTGCCTCGTGCCATATTGTTTTTTTTTTTTTTTTCATCTGTGCGCGGCATGTCCCCTGTTTTTTAAAATTATCTGTGCGCCACAGCATGGTTCATGAACAGTACAAGTGTAAAGGCATCGTAGCTGAAAAGCACACAGCGAGCGGAGGTCACGGAACTGCCCGCGCCAACAGACGGTCGCTTCCTGCAAATGGGAAACCTGAGGGCTCAACCAAATGCCCGCGATTTTCGAGTAGTGACAACAGAATTTGCTGTCGCCATGGCTGTCGCAAAGGGCCATTTGTCGCCATCGCGGCGCAGGTTTCTGGAAAACCAGAAAAATTGCTTGTTGCTCAGGAAAGATTGTGACGATTTCCGCAACGTGGTAGCACCCCTGATTCTTGCTTTGGTTGCAATTTGCTCTTTCTGCTAGTTATCCACGCGTACTTCAAAGAAAGCAAGCCATAGGCTACCTTTTCAACAGTAACTTCTCATGTAGACAGCAAGGCGGCCACCGTATTTTGTTGTTAATCCTGATATCGACGGTTTGTTTTGATGCTTCGGTGGTTGCTTGCTGCAATGTCAAGGACGTCGTCATGGTTGTCATGTGCGGTTGCCCCGAAGCTGGCAAAGTGCGTCGTAGCATCATAGCGCACACTTCTGAGCGCTCCTCAAGATCACAGCAGATACCATTGTTGTGGTTAAATGATTGCGAAAAAAGGAACCCGCAAAACACTTTTATGAAGTGCACGGGCTGTGCAGGGACAGCTTGCAGAAGACATCGCCTGAAACTACTGAAGATCAGTGAAGTGCAACAAAGAAGCTGTTTCGAAACAGTGTACGCGTATGTCGATTGCGAAAGGTTAAGCGACCTAACTTTTTTTTTACATTACTACATTTTATGCTGATCCCCAAAAAAAGTTTTCATAAAATTTGCCTGCATAATAAACGCACTTTAAAGTTGTCTCCAGTTTTTCGAGAAAAAAAAGTGTGTTCATTATGCGAGTAAATACGGTATTTGCTTCAAATGCACTTTGAACCTAAAATTCACTATTTGTGTGAGCCTAGCTACCACACCTCTGCATTTGAAAACAGTCTAGTGACAGTGAATACTTTGTGAGGGTGGCCGAGAGAGGGCGTTACGTGATGGCATGATCATCATCATCGGGACTTGGCCAAGAGAGGACACTACATGATGGCACCATCATCATCATGGGGGCTGGGAGTTGTGGGGGTTGCGTGTGTGGGGAAGAGGGGAGTTCGGCCTGGTTGGGAAGAGTGGCAAGACACAGCGGTTGTGTTGTGCGCGATTTAGGGTTAGCGCATGAGAACTTGAAGTAAGACACCATATTTCTAATACTGAGGGAATTTCATCACTATGTAAGCATAGAGGATGGCATCTCACCGTGTCTGCCGGTAACCTGGCTCCACTGAGGGCAAAGCGGCACGTTGGTCCATCCAGTTGCGACGTGCTTGTCTGAAAGCAGTGTCAGTGGCAAGCTGTTAACGCTGAAGTTGTCAGGAGTTTTTCTGCCCACACTGCACCTACAGGTTTTTCTAAAGAGCAACAATTTAGTATATCTCCGAGTAGTAGTACCCCTGTCAAGTAGGCAAATAATTCGCACTTACGGACATAGTCACTCGTTAAAAAGGGTAGTGTCACCAAATTTCGAGGCCATAACAAGTCTGTTGTGGATTTGCACTGCATGCAAGGACACTCCACATGAATGCTCAGACAGCAAACGTTTAGAATATATTTTAATTGACTTCCAAAGTGTGCCTAAATGCTCATTCTTCCGTCGACACCCATCGTTAGCCCTTCCAACACTGACGTAGCTCGATGGGAAGGGCAGCAAAAGTTGCAGTGACGTCACACCAGATCTGTAGTGACAAGAGCCACTTCCGAACCTCCGCATGTTGCATACCGGCAAAGCATCGGTTGCTACATCACTCGCCAATGCTGCAGCTAGCCATGGCAACTGTCTGCGTGTCTGTTTTGCTGATGCTTATGTGGCATGTGTGCAAGAGCAGACGATAGTCAGCATGATGAGCGTCACAGCCTTTTGTGGTCACATGATCAAGCCACCTACATTGCCCAACTTTGTACCCAGAAACCAAGACCAAGATCTGGCCACATAAATAAGGTGACATTAAATTATTTAGAGAGAATAGACGACTTCGGTGAGTGTATTATGCTTCCTAAACCTATGAGAAATGCTTGCAGCAAAGAATGTGCAAGCCACAAATATGGTGGCACCACCCATTTAAGCACAATTTGCCAAATCTGATGTGCGGTGTTGTCACTCAAAGGAGGGCTCATTCCAGCTAGAGTGCATTCACGGAACACACTATGCTGGCGAAGTGCATAGCCTTGCTGTCAGCTGTTTCAATGTTACAAATGTGCAATGCACAAAAAAGGGACACAAAATTGTATTTTAGTGGTTGAACAGCTTTGAACAATGTAGTTTGTGTTCAGCAAGACACCAAACAGAACAAAAAGAAAATAAACTTATCCTGTGAGCAACCATTCGCAGTTGTAATTTTTCATCCCATTTATGTAAGCTTGTTTTTCTCAAATTCAGTGCTAATTTTGATGATATACCATAAACCAATTACTCCTTATAACTCTTTTTAATTTGCCTCTGAAAAAGGACCCTTAGCCTGTCTCCATTAGTGTTTGTTTTGTTTTGCTCCGTTGCAACTGCACCCACTTCCCTCTTCATCACTGCATAGCCTAAAACGTCACTCAAGGACAGTAGTGGACTCTCTGTAGGTGCACGTAAGTGCATTGGTCCCATAGGTCGGCACTTGGAGAGACTACTCACTTATACTCACTCACCACAATGTTTTCAGCCTTCACCCTCACTCACGTTCATACTCACGTCTACTCCCACTCATAGGCCCTCACTCACGTTCATACTCACGCCTACTCACACTCACTCCTACTCACACAAGTTCATACTCACTCCTTCTCACACTCAAAGTACTCACTCACGTTCATACTCATTCCTACTCACACTCACAAGCTCTCACTCAATCCCACTCACATTGATGAATACTCACATTCATACTCACGGATACTCACACTGATGAGTGCTCACTTATGTTCAAATTCACATCTACTCACACTCATGAGTACTCACTCACGTTCATACTCACTCATACTCATACTCAGAGTAGTCACTCACGTTCATACTCACTCCTATTCACACTGAAAGTACTCATTCATGTCCATACTCACTCTTACTCATACTCATGAGTACTCACTCACGTTCTACTCACTCCTACCCATACTCATCAGTACTCACTCATACTCACACTCACCACGTTCAAATGAGTATGAATGAGTGTGGGTGAGTGTACTCATGAGTGAGTATGCGGAGCTATGATTGGCCCACTTGACAGGGATGTTACACATAGGGAGGTTTTGAAATTCCAAGTTACTCTGGGTAGAACGTCGCAGAATCTAGTCTTTCAATTCTGAAAATCCGAACAAAACTAAAGATTTATGCAATTATTTTAATCAGCACAATGAGTGCTCCACAGGCCATGAGCTAAACGAATGTTTTGGTAGTCGCCTGAACACTGCAATATCTTTGTGCTGTTACCTTTGCCTAATTATGTAAAGTTCATCTGAATAGATAGATCCAGGCAGTCAGTGAAAACCTACTCGAACAAGCATAAAAAAGAGGACGTTAAGGACATAAGTGGTAATCATATGCCGATAACTACTTACCTCGAGTCGTGGGGGCGTGCTTGGTGGGGACACCAAAAGCATGGCAGGGTCAGTCGATGCGTCTGATGCCGGCAGCTCACGGACGCTCGCCACATCGTCGTCGGGGCTGGGCGGTGGCAGCTGCAGGGTTGGTGCCAGCAAAGAGACTGTCGGTGCAGATCGAGCGGGCGTCAGCACGACACTGCGGTCACGACAGAAGGCAATGCGCAGTTCAGGATTGTGTTCAAAATCCACCTCAAAGCACGAGTCACGCGCAAATGCTTCCAGCTTGGTCTTCTGCCAGTGGGCCAAACCCCTCAGGCACTTCTTGCGAACACGAGGAGTACTCGGGCTGTTGAAATGCGGGCCACAGGTGGGAGGGGGCACGGCTGGTACAAGAGCAACGAGGCCCTCATTCGTGAGTGAGCAAGCCTTGAACTCTCCAAGCTCAATGTCGCTCGAAGGGCAGAATGATGCTGAATCCTCCTTGCTGTTTTGCGGGCGCTCATCGGGTTTCCGCTTTTCCACCATGCCGTCTTCGGAAAGCCACCGGGTAGAGTCGGGTGGTAAGCTGAAACAGTCGGCATCCAATTCGGGGAGCGGAACCTCGGAGTCCAGAAGACACTTGATGGCATCGGGAAGCTCGCCTAGATCAAGAACTTGGTCTAGCAGACCAGGCACCTTGCCCATGTCAGTTGTAGGCAATGTCTCCGACTTCGCAATCTGAAGAGGCTCAACACATTCATCTTGTTGTTCCACATGACCTCCTACTTTCTCGTTCTCCAAGTTATCAGGCCTTGGCTCACCGTTTACACACACCGGTACCTCATTGCCACAGGTTGGAATATCCTTGTTTAAATGGCCGGAAGACCTTGAGACCTGCTGGTCAAGGCTTGAAGACTTTTCCAATAAAAATGGGTCGGCATTGTCTCCTTGCTTTTCTGTGACTTTTTGATGTGCCTCTGTTTTATTAGGGCTGGTATGACTTCCCTTGTTCTCGGCAACCTCGAAATCTTGGCAGAAAGTTTTCGAAGATTTAAAAGACTCCTGGTCATGGCTCTGTGACTTATCAAACAAAAGCGGATCAACACTATCCACTTGCTTTTCCATGACTGCTTGTTCTGCTTCTGCTTTCTTGGGACTGGCAGAACTGTCCTTGGTCTTGTCAACATTGACATCATGGCAAGAAATCTTGGAGAATTTTGGAGACACTTGGTCATGGCATGGCAACTCTAGCACTGAAGAATGGTCAGCACTGTCCCCTTGCCTTTCGATACTGAGCTGTTGTGCTTGTGCTTTACAAGGACTGGTCGCACTGTCCTTATTCTTTGTAACCTTAAAAGCCCTGTGGGTAGTTTTGAAAGGCTTTAAAGCCTTCTGCTCATGGGATGGTAACTCAACCACCGAAGAACAGTCAACAGTGTCCTCTAGCTTTGGCTGTTGTGCTTCTGCTTTGCTAGCGCTGGCAGCACTGCCCTTATTCTTAATAACCTTGAAAGCGCGCTGGGAAGTCTTGGAGGATCTTAAAGCCGCCTGGTCAGGGCATGGCAACTCTTGCGCTGAAGAATGGTCAGCACTGTCCCCTTGCTTTTCAAAACTTGGCTGCCGTGCTTGTGTTTTACCAAGAGTAGCCACACTGTCCTTATTCTTTGCAGCCTTCAAAGCCTGGTGGGAAGTTCCGAAGGACTTTGACGCCTCCATAATATGGGATGGTGACTCGCCCACTGAAGAAAAGTCAGCAATGCCCCTTTGCTTACTTATGCCCGGCTGCTGTGCTTCTGCTTTGCTAGTATTGGCAGCACTGCCCTTATTTTTGGTAACCTTGAAAGCCCGGTGGGAAGTTTCGGAGGATTTTGAGGTTGCCTGGTCATGGCATGGCAACTGTAGCACTGAAAAACGGTCAGCACTCTCCCCTTGCTTTTCAGTACTCGGCTGCTGTGCTTGTGCTTTACCAAGAGTGGCCACGCTTTCCTTATTCTTTGCAACCTTCAAAGCCTGGTTGGAAGTTTTGCAAGATATTGGAGCCTCCTGGTCATGGGATGGCAACTCACCCACTGAAGAGTCAACAGTGTCCCTTTGCTTATCTATACCCGGCCACTGTGCTTCTGCTTTGCTAGCACTCGCAGCATTGTCTTTACCCTTCGTAACCTTGAAAGCCTGGTGGGAAGTCTTGGAGGATTTCGAGGCCGCCTGGTCATGGCATGGCAACTGTATCACTGAAGAACGGTCAGCATTGTCCCCTTGATTTTCTGTACTCAGCTGCTGTGCTCGTGTTTTGCCAAGAGTGGTCACACTGTCCTTATTCTTTGCAACCTTCAAAGCCTGGTTGGAAGTTTTGCAAGATATTGAAGCCTCCTGGTCATGGGATGGCAACTCACCCACTGAAGAGTCAACAGTGTCCCTTTGCTTATCTATACCCGGCCACTGTGCTTCTGCTTTGCTAGCACTCGCAGCATTGTCTTTACCCTTCGTAACCTTGAAAGCCTGGTGGGAAGTCTTGGAGGATTTCGAGGCCGCCTGGTCATGGCATGGCAACTGTATCACTGAAGAACGGTCAGCATTGTCCCCTTGCTTTTCTGTACTCAGCTGCTGTGCTCGTGTTTTGCCAAGAGTGGTCACACTGTCCTTATTCTTTGCAACCTTCAAAGCCTGGTTGGAAGTTTTGCAAGATATTGAAGCCTCCTGGTCATGGGATGGCAACTCACCCACTGAAGAGTCAACAGTGTCATTTTGCTTATCTATACCCGGCCGCTGTGCTTCTGCTTTGCTAGCACTGGCAGCATTCTCTTTATTCTTGGTAACCTTGAAAGCCTGGTGGGAAGTCTTGGAGGATTTTGTGGCCGCCTGATCATGGCATGGCAACTCTTGCACTGAAGAATGGTCAACACTGTCACTTTGCTTTTCAGTATTCAGCTGCTGTGCTTGTGCTTTACCAAGACTGGCCACACTTTCTTTCTTCCTTGTAACTTTAAAAATCCTGTGAGAAGTTTTGGAAGGCTTTGAAGCCTTCTGGTCATCGGAAGGTGACTCACCCACTGAAGAACTGTCAACAATGTCTGCCAGCTTCTCTTTATTTGGCTGCTGTGCATCTGCTTTGCTTGCACTGGCAGCACTGTCCTTTTTCTTGGCAACGTTGAAAGCCCGGTGGGAAGTCTTGGACGATTTCAAAGCCTCTTGATCACGGCTCACGGATCTCTCCAATGAAGAGTTGACAACACCTACCTTTCGCTTTTTTACGAAAGGACGCAGTGCTTCTGGTTTTCTGATAGTGGTATCACTGTCCTTGTTCTTAGCAAACTTGACATCCTGGCTAAAAGACTTCGAGGCAATTTGGTGGCTACTGAACGACTTATTCACAGAGAGACGGTTACCACTTCCATCTTTCTTTTTTGGACCAGTAGGCTTAGCCTTCGATTCATCAGCTGATTTCACAAAATGTTGGCTGCGAGCGTTCCTGTGATCTTTGTGCAAGGACTTAGAGGATTTTGATGCCTGCTTAACAGAAGAAGGCTTATCTCCTGAAAAAGGTGCCGCATTACCATCCTGTTCTTCAGCTTTTGCACGTTCAGCCTGTGAATCACCCAAAGAAAGTTGGTTTCCAGAAGCCAAGAGGCCTTTGTGAGACGTTTTGGAAGACTTAAAGGTCTTTTGGTTGGAAGTAGGTGCCTTCTCTGCCGAAACAAGCTGAACACTGCTGTCCTGCTCCCGTGGGCTTTGGTCTAGGACTTGCAAATATTTCGGTGCCGTTTGGCTACTAGGTGCTCTAACGTCTTTGTGCAGAGACTTGGAAAGTCCCAATGTCTGCCGATGAGAGACTGGCAACTTCCTTGCTGTAGATCGGCCAACAGTTCTGCTTCTCTTTTCTGTGCCAGCCTGCCTGGCTTGTGAATTGTCAGGCTTCCCCTTGTGCTTATTTTCGGCAATTTCGGCTACTTTGCAAGGAGCCCTACTATACTTTAAAGCGTTCTTTGCCTTACAATACAACATTCCAATGGCACTGCGTGGGTCAATATCATCCAGTCTTTCAACCACCACTTGAACAGATTTTGAAACAGCCACTATGGCACAAGTGTCCTCATGCTGCCGTGAATCACTGCTGATTTCGTCGATTACAGCTTCTTTTTTGTGCTGCTTTGACTCACAGTCAGTCCCGCTAAACACCTCCATGCTTTCTTCAGCGCCAATGTCTTCGATAAAGTTTTCACTGGCAATGAATTCTGCACCTTCGCTTCTATTGTCACCAACACAATTTTCACTGCCCATGTCCTGAACAAAGTCTGCAGAAGTAAGGTCGACATAATCTCCCTTTGCCATCTTCTCTGTACATTCATCATTATCACAAGGGTTCAGAAAATGTTCCCTGCCAACATCTATCATACTACTGTCACTGTCAAAGTTACGAAAAATTTCACCACAGCTGTTACTTGCTAAGGTTTCATTAGAAATTTCGAAGTTTTCCATACTGCTTGCAGCCTCTGGACAACTCTCACCATTCTCGTCTACAACGCACTCATCACCAGCGACACTGGTGACACTGTCAATACTGTTCGCATTTTCATCATGGCTTCCACAATTGGGCTCACAGCTGTTGCCAATACTACTCTCCCTGAAAACACTCGCGACGCTTTTCTTGCTCCTGCTTTCTTTACCACTGTTCTCGACAGAATCGACTAAAGACCCTTCGTAGCAAACGCCCTTTTCACTACTTGCACCACTTAAGTGTCCAACAGCGTCCTTGCTTGTTCCGCCAACATCATTAATGTCGTCCGCAGTTGTTGCCTTCTTGCAAACACCAATGTCAATAAGGTTCACATCAGAGGCCGATGCAATGTTTTCAACAACCGTATCATCACAGCTTTCATCGCTTTGTGCTGCAATGCTCCCTTTAGGTGATGGAAATAGCTCTACAGAGTCATCCCTGACCTCATCAAGTAAAATCCATTCGTCATCGCCATCAGGGCTGAGACATAGAAAGTCATCATCATCAGCAGATGAAACCTCAGCTGAATTAGAGTCAACAGCTCTTTCCTGGCTGGCTGCAGCCTGCTCGTTGTCAGCACAAATACAAGATGACAATTCCGCCTCTACTTGAACATCATCACTTGAGACTGTTGAAAATTTATGTTCCTTCTGCCCACAAGGAATGGAAACCGGTTCTGGCGTTCCGACGGAATCAGTAGCTTTCTCAGTGCAGTCTTCTCTTGCTTTCTGGCCTGACTCTATGGATGCGTTTAACTCAGTCACGACATCGGCAGCTGGGCATTCCGAAACAGCCTGGCGGCCATCCAATGTTTGAGAGGAACTCTGTTCAATAGGACTAGTCACATGAGGTCCGCAGTGCTCAACAGCTGTACCAATGGTGCTTGAACCTGAGCTGTCAAAATAATTGCCCATAGGTGAAGTAAGAGGTTCTCTTCTTGCTGTACTAGATGTGCTCAATGGGCTGGAATGACTGGTTGTCGGCAACTTATTGCGGTTGGAGCTCAACAATTCATCTGCAGGGGCATTGGTGTGAGCCATGTAAGAAACTCCAGGCTTAGCTGTTAGTTCAGAAAGCTCTGCTTTGCCGACAGAAATAACAGAGCTGTCTTCTTGCACAGATTCAACAGGTTTGGGTCCGTTTTGACCCGCATCAAGGTTGACATTTGTCGAAGCATTTACAGCTGCAAGGTCACAACTAGCTGCTAAACGCACATTTACTTCTTCAGGTGCTTCCAGCTCAATGTTTGGTTCAATCATGGTTACATCAGAAAGAGGAATGTCGCTGCTTGCAAGGAGGGCATCAGAATCTGTAACATCACACTGGCGCTGTTTGGGGTACAGCAATGAAGTTTCCAACTCCCTAGCCAAACCAAGACCTTCCCTTGCAGTATTCAAATGGCTGGATAATGTGTCAGCGTCTGTCGTACCTGGCTCGCTAAGTGGACAGCTTGGCACAGGTACAGGTTCCAGGATCGAATCTGGCCTGTTTTGCACTCCTTTAGGAGCCTCTTTTGTCAAATCACCGGCATCAGCTGCTCCACCTCTGCTTGATGGTGCACTTGACTTTAAAATGTCAGATTCTCTTGTATCAACAAGATTACTGCTATTTGAGAGCTCTTTAAGATGCTCTGCTTCAGGCTCTCTATTACTTTCATATCTTTGATGGCCTTCATTCTCAACGGAATCAGACCCCTTGCTTGGTGAAGATTTTTGTGGTGGGTCTGCACTTCCTGCAGCTTCGGCAGGCTGCTTGCTGCCAACACTGTCATCAACCGACAGCTCGCTAGGCGTTGTGATAGTAAGCCTCTCATAGGTGACGAGCAGTTCCTGTATTTGAGGGTCGGGAGCTTCAGGAAGGACTGCTTTCTTTCGCGACTTGCTCGAACGTATCGGCAGACCTTCCACTTCTCGCTTGCCTGATGGTGTGCCCAACCTAGGTGCACCGAGCACTGGGTGTTCGTGAGGGCCAACTGCTTCAGGGGCCCCGGGCTTGAGTATCCCCTCGTTGGGCATGCTGCTGCTCGTCACCTGTAAGCCGGAACTTACTAGCCTAGTCGTGGTGCGGTTGCTGGCAAGGTTGGCAAAGCTTGCACTTGTGCTGCAGGAAGCACTATCAAATGGTGAAACGTTGGAGGTAGCCGCCCCAGTGGTGGCTTTAGAGGCAACACCAACATCCAAGGCTGGTGAGCTGTCTGATGCGTCAACGACAAGGCACTTATTGTTTTGCAGCTCAAGGGCACCGAGCTTGCCTTCATTGTCTTCTTCCCGAACCTTCCTTCTCAGAGCCAACTTATTAGCGAAGATTCTCGGTGAGCTGCGGCGTCTTACTTCTTTAGGTTTCACAGTTTGAGCAGCTTCCTGCACAGCAGAAGTGGTACCCGATTCCACGTCATTCGTGCTTTCAGTGCTACAGCTCAACGATGCACTAGCACTATTCCCTCTGGCACGACTGCGCCTTACAGCTACTTTCGAATAGCTCTTTTCTTCCACTCCACTAGCTTGTTTGCTTAATATTTCCTGTTTAGGCAAACTCATCTCTGTATGTCCCTTGGACAACACCTCAAAACTGCTGGTACTCGTGACTGACTCTGCGCTGCTTGAACGCGTGGCACCAACATGTCTCAATGATAATTTAGTGCCTGCTGCTTGGCGCCTTGTACGCCTAGTAGTTGCTCGCAGTTCATTTCCAGGGCGTGCTGTGCTGTCATCTGATGGTATGTTGGCTGCATCTTGGCTGTCCGAACTGGAGCACAGCGACACAATTCTTTTACGTCGTGCCGGTCGCGAAACCGATAGTACATTTTCAGGCTCTTGAATAGCATCGACATCGCTGCTTGATTGTGATGTTCCTATGATTGCGTCTTGGCCACCCATCACAGGCACCAGCTGTTCGTCGTAAATGTTCTCAATGCTCGCAGGACCACTGCAGACGGGTTCAGGAAATTCGGCTGATTTACCAGAACTGCAGGTGGAAGCTAGCCTTGTTCTCCTAGGCCCAACATCACTAGCTGAACGAGTGTTTCTCCGGCTGGGCAAGCCACGTGTTGCTGCTTCGGAGGCTTTTGGTTCAGCTGCTGTAGGAGGAGCACCACTCAGCATAGTTTTGAAACTTTCCAAATGTGTTTTAGGTGTTTCAAGCATCACCACGTTCGACTTGTTTTTCCTAGAACTCCTACGCCTAAGCTTTGCATTAGAATCTGCCACCTCGGAACACATGGGTATGGCCCGAGATGTTGCAACGTCTGGCATCGCGTTGGCTTGAGAGCTTTCCAAGAGTGTCTCAGCTGTCGTGATACTCGACTTGCTCTTTCTAAAGCTTTTCGACCTTGACACTGTACCAGCGTTTGCCCTCTCGGCACTTGAAGGTCCAGAAAAAAATGTTACAGAATCTGGCACATGGCCTACTTGAGAACTTTCCAAATCTGTTCCAGCTGCTTCAGCAGTGACGGTGCCATATTCGCTCTTTCTAGATCTCTTTGGCCTCGACAGCACACCAGAATCTTCCATGTCTGACCTCAAAGGTATTGCAACAGGGTTAGAAGCATTTGACATGTGGGCTGCTTCAGAGCTTTTTGGTTTATCAATAGGTATTTCAGGTTTCCCTTTGCTTGAACTGCTCCTTCTAGAAAACTTGACCCTCAATGATGCGCCATGATCTGTCACCTCGGTGCTTAAAGTTGTGGGGTCTGACTGGTGAGTATTTAGAACGTGGCCTGCTTCGCAGGTTTCTAAATGACCATCACATGTGTCAGATGCTGCAGTTCTTAACTTGCTCTTCCAAGAACTCTCGGGTAGCCCAACCCCGTCAAAGTCAGAGACCTCCATGCTGAGAGATGTGGCTACAGCTGTCGCAGCGTTCGATGCGCAAGAAGCTTCGGCGCTTTCTATATTCGCAGCAGGTGCTTCAGGTGTGACGGTGTTCGACTTGCTTTTCCTGGGGTGCCTCAGAACTATACCAGAATCTACCAACTCAGAGCTCAAATGTGTGGCAAGGGATGCTGATGCATCTGACACGGGAGCCAATTGGGAGTTTTCCAATTGTACGGCAGGTGCTTCCGGGGTCATGTCACTTGACTTGCTTTTTCTATACAGCTTCGTCCTCAAAGTAGTACCAGAATCTGCCAGCTCCGAGGTTGAAGGAGTGGCAGCAGACTCCAAAGAGTGCCCCACGCAGATGTCTTTGGTGCTTTCCGATTGCACGGCAGGCTCTTCAGTTGTGGCAGAGCTTGCCTGTCCCTTTTTCGACCTCTTGGGCCGCCTCAGTGCCATACCCAAGTCTGCCACCTCAGAGTTTGAAGACGTGGCAAGTGATGAAGCATCTGATGTGTGGACTGCTTCAGAGTTCTCCAACTGCACAGCAGCTGCTTCTGGTGTCACAATATTTGACTGACTCTTTTTAGAAACCTTGCACTTCGACACTTCGACAGGATCTACCACCTCAGGGCTCAAATGTGTGGCAAGAGATTCTGTTGATGTGTATACTCTTTCGGGACTTCTCAACTGAGTTTCTGTTGCTTCAGGCGTTGCAGAGCTTGACTTATTCCTCTTAGAGACTTTAATCTTCAATGAATCACCATGATTTGTCACCTCAGGGCTTAAAGATGTGGCAGCAGGCACAGGCCCATCTGACATCTGGGCTCCAACAACGGTGCTGCTCGACGATTCACTAACACTCAATGTTGGAGGGCTACCCAGATCCGCAACACAGCTTTCTGTTGTTGACTTGTCAGGACTGACGAAGCCAACCACGCGAGGTCGAGTGCTGGTGGTAGAGATCACTCCATGTTTTCCTTGGATCCGGATCCGACAGATGATAGATGGCCTGCTGACACTCGCATCGGGATCGCTGGGTTTGTTTACGAGATGTGAAGATGACGACGATGATGACGTGCCAGAATCTGGTACTGATTCAATTACTTCAACAGCGAGCTGACGCTTTGATGATAGCTTTCTTTCTTGGCGTGAATGTGGAACACGTTCCTTGGCAGATGGTACGCGAAGCTCTGCACTGAGATCGGCAGTAGCTGCAGCCGCACAGAAGTCCAAAGACTCTGCATCGCCTCCGGCATTAGCCAGAGCTTCCGCAGGACGATTTTTATCGGCTTTCTTGCCCACCTCTCTCTCTCTTAATGTCCTGTCACTGGAGAAAGACTCAGCTGCCACTTTAACTCTTTTGCTGGCTTTCCTAGTCTTGGCCTTCGCATGCCTGTGCAATACCTGGCCGTCCTCCGACGCAGAGCTGTAAGAAGCACGACGAGTCCGGTGAGCTGGCTCCACTGAGCGGGTTTCCACATTTGTAAACTGTTCTGAATGAGGCAACACAGAGTTCACTAGGGCACCACGTCTTCCCCTAGCCGAAGCCCTTTGTTGTGAACTGGCACTGCTTTCTGTAGAAAGCCCACGCTTCCGACATTGGCTCTTAGGTTTGGACACATCTGGGGCAGCACCACTGCGGTCGGACTTGTTCAGATCACGCAGACTCCACCTCCGGCGACCCTCTGGCTGCTCCTGATGCCGCCACCGAACCATTTCCTGCTCTGTCAGGCGAGAGAGCTGAATGAAGCATGGTCGAAGAGCATCCAGCAGATGGGAGCTTGATTCGTGACCTGCATGTACCAGAAGCACATTGCCAACTTAGTCACGAGCACCTGATTCTCTTCTTCATTAAAAAGGCCACTAATTACGATTTCACAGAATGGCAAAAAATACTCGAATCATCGAAAGTGTCCATAAAAACAAGCCGTCATTACGCCAACACACTCATCTTCTTATTGAATACACAAATTTTGTCCTTATTCTGCACAAGAGCCATGTATAAGCTACAATTTCAGCCATTCACGGCTTTGTTAAGTGTGCGACAGCAGCGCATGACCCCCACTTTTTAGAAGTGGTACTGAGAAAAATTTTGGCCTCCCGTTTTTTCGCTGCAGCGGGCTGCTGGGAGCCTGTTAGTCATAACACAAGACATCTTTAGCTAGAACGCATGACAAATAATAATTACAGGCTTCTCATTACCGACCAGTCTTTGTCTCGATTCAAGAGAGCTCTAAAAAGTACAAGCTGCCAGGTGGCACTACCACACCTAGCGCGCGCAGCTCTAGACCACGTCAGCATACAGAAATGTGATGTTCTCCTTACTCCCCAATCAAGTCCTTTCGAACAGGAATCGGGAAAACTAAGATGCAAAACACAAAACTTTCAATGCGTGCGTCGCAGCCACAGACTTGCGAGCAGCCACTGATAAATAGTCTACAAACACGGCAAAAGAGTAATGGAGACTGCGACGTCATCATAACATGTGTCGGCTGCAGCGTGACGACGTAAAGGAAGTAGATGGATCACCGCCGAGCCTCTTCCAGGTGCTGTCAGTGCCGCAAAGTACGGCGTGCAACATTTGATGGCGCATGCAAACTTCGAAATTTATATAAAATACTGAGCGAGCTTTATGCCAGCACACTTACAATGGCTGAAATGTGCTTTTGCTTCAACAACTCTTACCACCTTTCAGCACTGTGTGCTGTTAGCACCGAGTTAAAATAAAGCTACAGTGTCACATCTGCTATGGATGAAGCTGTGGTCACCAACAATGCAATCATGGGCTTTATACACACAGTTCTAAACTGTACCATCCTTCCCTGCTTAGGTTCCACAGTGCTCATTGGGGCAAGGAAGAAGAAAGAGTAATGACAGTGTACGACAATTCTCTGTAACTCTGCTTGTACTTGATAGATTCTAAACATTTTCATGGCGGCCGATTTGTGAGACAATGAACTCCTTTAATGAAGCCATTCGACGATAACTCGGAAAAGTACTGCAGGGTCTCTTAAAAGATTACATTGAAGTGTATCAAAGACACAAAGGAAGAAAGTGGACAGGACAGTACACAACTCGCACTGTCCTGTCCTGTGTACTTCTTTAATCCGTGCCTTCAACGAGCTTCAAACTAATTTTTAAACATCGTGCAGTTTCTTTACCTGGCTGCTTTATCAGTACAGGAAATGGTGACAGGGTTGGTACAGGCACTGTAATCACAATCAATAAGAAATAAAGTTAACTATAATTATAACGTGGCAGGCCGTAACAAAATAAAAAATATAACAATAAAATATTTCTCCACAGGAACCAATGTATTTATGATCTTGCTTTTAATGAAGTAAAATTTGCCAGTTAAAGAACACCACGAAGAAATTTTGCTGGGAAATAAAGTTTTGAGTCAATGTCATGACAGCGTGCAGGGCGAAAGCTGTATTTAGCATTTCAAAACTACCACCATGCGTCGTCCAGCAATGTGCATAAAGCCGGATGGTGCACCATGTGCACGCTGCTGGACCTACACGGCCATTCCAACAAACCTCTCACTGTACACAGCACAAAGCCAATGCACACAACGTGCATGACTTATGCGCACTGTTAGTTTGGCCCGGCGATTCGTCTCGGCAGACGCCATTGTGCATAAGCCGGTCTACTGGGGAGGCTCTCAGCCCCTTCGGCGCCCAGTCTGCCAGACGCTGTCGAAGATTTCGGCAGTTACCCAAACCATGCGGCAAGCAAAGGCGAGTTCCTGACTTTCAAATGCGGACCCTTTCATAATCCTTTCGAGCAGCAGCGGTGCCTGATGACCTCGGCGACTCAACTGGCGATGAGGAAGCTGTTGTGACCAGCGCCAGAGCTGACGGGGAAGCGGCACTTTTTTTAATCCCCAATCAAGTAGCCAACCGGCCGGCTGCCTATGCCCATCAGGCATTGTCCCTGCTAGCCGGAGGATGAGACGTCATGTCGCCACGACGCCGTAAACCGTTCGAGAGAGGACAACAAAGACAGCATCTTCCTTGGAAAAGACCGTGGCGGCCGCCGCAAATCGCCCCGCTAATTGAGCGAACAGATCGGCGGACCCTTTGATGTACGCTGTCAGGAGCTTGGGACCAGTGAGGAGGAGATTAAAAGCGCGGTAGAGATTTTCGAAAAACAGAAAATGGAGGAGCGAGAAAGATAATGGGAAAGAGAAGAAAAGGGAAGAAGGGATAGAAAAGAAACAGAAGAAAAGGAAAGAAGAGGTAGAAAAGAAAAAGAAGAAAAAGAAAGATTAGAACGACAGAAAGAAAGAGACCAGTGGAAGGAAAGCCTGAAAGTAAAACAGGAAGAGACAAGGAGATCAATACAGTGCCTTAGATGGTCTCAAGTACATTCGAGGATCTATGCATTCGAAGAGGGTGAGGATATAGAAAGTTACCTAACTTCTTACGAGAATGTTTGCACAGACCTAGGGCTCGACGAAGACTGTTGGTCTATTGCCTTATTGAGTGTCCTTCTGTGCGACTTAATGGGTAGAACAAGGTACCTTTCCGAGGAGGAGTTCAATAGTTAGAATGTAGCTAAGGCAGCTTTACTGCGGTGCTTCGGCATCAGAGTTGGCAGAAAGCAAATTGAATATACAAGCTCTCGAACGCTCCGTTGAAGAACGCGCGACTGTGTGCTGGTAGTAAAACCAAGCCTGAGAGAGGTCCGCGTGTCTCTTATAGCACCAAGGTGGATAGTGAGCAAAAATGGGAGATAGAAAAACGGGAGCAAGGTGAAGAGCGTGAGCGAGCACTCAGCCTAGAGATTGAACTGTCGGAACAAAAAGTCGAGGCAAGGCGGTGGAAGATTCAGCCATACGCAACTGTAGCGCACGAGAAGTGCGATAATTAAATGAGTGAGGTGCAGTTTAGAGCCCCAGACAGGGCTAGCACGTGTGAAAATAGCAGCAGATTCAAAGACGAATCGAGTTTGAGCACTGCGAATGATGCTGCGTTGAGTAGAGAGGCCGACAAAGGCCAGAGCGAGTGCAACTAGGTGCTGTGTCAGTTGAATACTAGCGAGACAGCTAGAATAGCGGTAGACAGGCTGGTACAGACCTCAACTGTGTTTGTCGCGACGGTGGATCTTGCAGACAATGTGGAAGTAATCAAGGACACCGGAGAAAGCTCAGGGGAAACAGCGAAAGTAGAGAATGATATCAGTGCAGTTGAAGACAGCTCTCAGCAATGCCAGCTAGATGTTTGAAGAAAAACAGCCACACTGTTCCTAAGAGCGTGAAGCTGTCCGCCAGTCTAGAATGTGAAGCAGGTGATTTTTTCAAAAATCATTTAGACAGCACAGGTTCGACAGCTGACGAAAGCTGTGAGAGGGTTCACGAGTGTGAGTTGCTATCGGAAAGCTTGGAAACGAGCCGCAAGAAGCGGCGCAGACGCAGGCGACATGGAAAGTTGCGAGAGAGACAAACAGTACTACGCGTGTAAAAGAAGGCGCAATACCTTTGAGTGTAGAAAGTAGTACTAGGCACTTTGCATCGACGCCCAAGTCAGTTTGCATGCGTCCGAGCAACCGGACAAAAAGTAAGAGAAAAGCAGGTTGGCGAAAGGAATTGCGTCAAGAGCACCGGTCTTTCCTTTCTATTCACAGAACATTTCAGGGCGCACCTGAGTACAGCGTTAGCACAGATGAATCGGCCAGACAAGGCGACAGAGCTAAGAAATCAAAGTGCCGAAGTACTGTGGCAGCTGGTGCAGAAGCACCCTTGAGCTGTAAAACTACCGATGACGCAACCCGAGGCCAATTTCTGAACGGTGCAGGAAAAGTCGGTCATAGACGTCGCCGTAGAGGAGTGAAGCATACGCGCCCGACAAAGCGAAGGACAGAAGGAGGAAGCAAGCTTCGGGGAGAAAGAAAAGAGGATAGCTCATCGTCCAGCTCAGCGAAGAGGCCTTTGTGGCGGGAAGTAAGGCGCCAGCAGCGAAAGGGTAGGCCACAGCGCGCATCTTTGCGACGGAATGTACGCAGGAGATTTAAAGCTTTGCAGGGACAGCATTGTCGAAGGGGTCCTAGAAAAAAGGCCACAATAGCTAAACACAACACGGGAGCTACCCCAAAAAAGGCATGGCCACTCTTTCCCACGCATCGCTCGGGTCCCCTCCGTCAGAATGACAGAAGTTGCCTGAAATCGCGAATGATGCGTGACTGTGCCGTTCAGCTGGTAGCACATAACCGCAGCTGTGGCATTGCACGTACGCGTCCGCTTCAGCTACGGGAGGTGCGGGGTTCGATCCCCAGTGCCGGCCGGCCACCCACCGGTAGCTAAACAGGGTACAGGCGGGCTTCGAGGGGCTGTGACGCGTCGCCCTAGTGGTGAAGCTTACTCTGCCTGGATACTCCCAACACGCTGCGTGGGGACCCCGGTAGCTGGTAGCACATACGCGTCGTTGCCTCAGGCGTTCTGAAAATCTGCCAGGACCGCGACCACCGCGGGTACGATTGAAGAGAGAGGAACAGCTGTAAGCTGGAGACCGCAGGGTACAGAAATTTTCTTAGAAGCAAATTTGTTTGCCTATTTTTGGTTTTAAAGTGGTGTTCCTGTGTCATCTCCACAGCTAGTTTGCTCGGATATTTTTTTCTTCCTTCTAGAATTTGTTTGTGTGTAAGCTTTGTCAAAGCTTTGAGTTTAGTTGTTGAGCGTTATGCGGAAGTAGTAACCCGCATGAGTCAGCCGACTGCTTGCAATGAGTTTTTCTTTTATATAAGAGCGCGTTAGTCATGAATGAAGATTAGGTACGCCCGCTAAATTTGAAAG